TTATTTTTTTTTCATTGTTCATTTTTTTATGTATTTTTCAAAAATAATTTATAAATAAAATCAAATAGAAATTTCGTTCAAAAAAATGAAAATTAAAATGGTTGACCCCACTTGTAAATATTTACCGAAAATTTTTATCAGTATCAAGTTTCAATTTTTCACACAAAATTTTTTCTGATACTTCTCTAACACCGCATTATAAATTCAATTTACAATCATTTGACGTTAACCTTTGAATAGAACAACTATATTGAATTATTCATAGTAATTATTTTACTTTTGGTGTTTAATAATACACCAAATGTTTAATAATAGGTGGATTAATGAAATGCTAGAACTGGGGAAAAAATGGACGTGGGTACAAATATTTGAGAATCGTGGTGCATTAATGGGATGCAGTAATGCACATCCTCATTGTCAAATTTGGGCAAGTTCATTTCTACCATTTGAAGCGAAAAGAAAAGATCAAAATCTTCTTGAATATTATTCACGTCATCAACGTCCGCTTTTAATGGATTACGTTGAAAAAGAATTAGCTAAAAAGGTGAACAATTACTTTTATAATTTTTTAATTAATAACTTTTTTTTGCAACTATATAGTTAATGTCAAAAAAAATTTTTTAAATGTTTTAGGAGCGCATAGTCATAGAAAATCGTGACTGGGTCGTTTTGGTACCATTCTGGGCAGTATGGCCCTATGAAACAATGTTACTACCAAAGAAACAAGTCACCAGAATTCAAGATCTTACAGCTGATCAACAAGAATCGTTAGCATGTATCATGAAAAGATTGTGCACTAAATACGATAATTTATTTTTATGCTCGTTTCCATATTCAATGGGCTGGCACGGTGCACCAACTGGACCATTAATCAACAATGATTCAAAACACTGGACATTTCACGGTATTTATTTGCCTCCTTTACTTCGCTCAGCCTCAATAAAAAAGCATATGGTTGGTTACGAATTATTAGCGCAAGCCCAGCGAGATTTAACGCCTGAACAAGCTGCTGATAAATTACGTAGTTTATCTGATGTTCATTATCGATATCCAGAGACTAGTTTAACTCCTGATTTAATAGCCAAATATCACTAAATCGTTGTTCAATGATTAGTAACCATAGAAATGATAAACCAAAAACTATAAATATTTATATTAAACAATTAAATTTATGAAATTGTATTTACATGTTCAATGATTTATAATTAATAAATTGGAAACTTTGAGTCTATTTTATGCGCCCATGCATGTATACCACCAATAATATCTTTTATTCTATCTGTTTGATCATCCAATGATTCTTTTAATAATTTCACAGCTCGCTGTGAATCATTACCACGACGGCATAAAATATAAACTGAAAAAAACACATCCTTGATATTAATATTAATAGTGTAAAAATAGTTATGACCGATACTGATTGAATAAAGTACCTTGTGCATTATTATCTTCTTTTAATTTTTTATCAACAATGTTTTTTACGACTTGTAAGCCTCCTTTACTTTTAATATCAGTGAAAGGAATGTTAGTAGCATTGTCTAGGTGACAAATTTGGAACTCCTCATACGATCGCACGTCGATCAATAAATGTGGCTTCGAAAGATTTTTAATATCACGATATTCTTCAACAGTAATCCTCTCATAGTTATTCAACAATGATAAATTTGGATTCTTATCATTAGCTCGGCTATTACAAAACTGCTCATAGTCAATAAGTTTGTCTATTGACGGGTTATCGCCACAAATAGCACAACTGGATGATTTTCCACGTAATTTAACTGTGCGGAATATCATTTCAAGTCCATCGAAAAGCATCAATCTCCCAGAAAGTACCCCAGGAATTTTTAATATTATTTTGAGTGCTTCTAATGCTTGCAACACTCCAATAGTTCCTACAGCTGCAATTAATATTAATGAATTAATTGAGTTGTTAGTTATTTTTATACACAATAAATTTAGATAAATTACCTGCACCAAGAACTCCACCATCACCACAGTTAGTTACGGTTTCCGGTGGTGGAGGCTTAGGAAATACACAACGATAACAAGGTCCATTATAATTGTAAACAGTCAATTGTCCCTCTAATTTTAGTGCTGATCCAGATATTAATGGTTTATTGATCAGAACACATGCGTCATTAATTAAATATCTTGTTGGTACATTATCAGTTGCATCTATTATAACATCGTACTCTTTTATTATTTCCATAATATTTTTACTGCTGACTTGAATTTTGTATGGAATTATTTTTACATTATTGTTCAGCCTATAAATTAATAAAAGTTATTTTATTTTATAAACTCAATCTATTCTATTATTATAATTGTAATAGTAGTGAAAATTATTGGTGTCGATGTACTTTTTTATTGACATTTTCTATGACACTGCAATTAGCAGAAACTTGACGATTTATTTTAATTTTCTTGGAAAATAAACTAGGTTTAGAAAATTATTTTTAAATAATTGCATTTAAAATTTTCTAGAGCTTCTAAAGAGTGAATTTTTGAAATAAATTTTTCTTGCTTTGATTTATTTGTTAAAAAAATTCTTAAAATTATCAGATGTCTGTCAATTTCAGTATTATACATTTCCTTTATCCTGTTTAATTATCATCATCATCTAGCAATGATATATAAAATTTTAAAGAACGTCAGTGAATAAATAATATTGAGACTAGTTATATCTTATCTCTCTATTATTATTATTATAAATATTTTTTTTTTTTTAATAAATAAGTGATAACTACTTAGATAAATGTTCAGCAGCAGCATTGACTTTAGCTCGTCCAATATCATTAATAGTAAATAATAATTGTCGATGAAGATTAGTTAATTCTATGTCATCATAGTCAATTATACCAATTCGGCCTACTCCAGCTCCAGTTAAATACAGTGCACAAGGACATCCTAATCCACCAGCACCAATTATCAATACCGATGACTCTTTGATTTTTAATTGTCCTAAAAAATAAATAATGATAATTAATTTAGCAAATATTTAATAATTTTTAGAATTTTTTTTAACAAATAAATTATGACAAAAAAAAAAAAAATATTAAAAAAATTGACATGTAGAAAATTTTAAAAATTAAAAATGCAATTTTTTAAAATTAATTTTTTTGTTAAAAAAAATTAAAAAATTCTCTAGTGACTGCTAACTTTAATGTCGTAAATAAATATGGGATTTTTATAATAACTATTAAATTTATATATTAAAATTAAATATTTATCGAATGTGTAGTATAGTTTCTTTTAAGTACCTGGAACTCCAATACTCGGGATCAAAATTTGTCTACTATATCTCATTATTTCCTTATTATTTAAACCATTATCCTGTAATATTTCTTTCTCATATCTTAATTTTATTAATTGGTCTTCTTTTTCTCTCAATAACAATTTCAAATTATTTATTTCACGTACTAATTCTTCTTGAGACATTTTTTTCGTATTATCTGAAATCTCACGTAAAAATATTTATCACCATTCGTTTACAAAATCTAATAAATAACAATAATATTAAAATATAAAATTTATTTAAAAATTTTCTGAAAAATAAATATCGATAGTCTCAATTCTTAATATCATAATATTTTTTTATGTTGAGTAAAATCCACCAATAAAATATCTTTAAAAAAATATTATTACTATATTATATTAAAAATGAATCCAATAGAATAGCAGATGCATAAGAAAGAACCAATAGTAAGAAATAAAAGTACAACGTGAAGTTATCGCCGTTGGAGTGTAAGTAGGCGCACACATTGTAGATATATTTTAGAACCAATAGAATACGTTTGGATGTTATACGTAACGCGTTGTTTGCGTTTTCAGATGCCGCCATATTGTGTGACTATCATCAGCGCGGGTCAACTACTACTTATGCTACTTGCATGGAAGTTTTTTTAGTAAAATATTTTTTTGTTACAACTAATAAACAGTGATTGAAGGATAATTGTGTTAATAAATATATTAACAAACGTTAAAAAATATATATAATGGATCCAGCTAAATTGAAAGTTGTTGAATTACGTAGCGAATTGCAAAAACGTAATTTAGATAGTAAAGGAGTTAAAGCGGTGCTTGTTGAGCGGCTTCGCAAGGCGTTGGAAGACGAATCTGATGGTTTGTATTACTTACCGATCATTCAATTGAATATTTTTAAAATAAAATTTCTTTTTAATAATTAACTTTTATCGTCAACAATTAGACAACGAGCTATCATTGATAATAATTAATTTTTATCGGTATTTAATTGTAGCGTCTAAATTATAGACAGTCTGTTTTGTTATGGCTTGGCCATCTGTAGTCTATTCAAAAACATTTACTATCATCATATATTTATAGTTCTAACTATGTTATTGCCGCAAGTGGTTAAAATTAATCAATTTATTTGTTATTTTTAGCTGTCGAACAAGAGACGAGTGACTCATGTAGAAAAAATTCATCGGAACCTAGTGTTGATGATATTGAGAAACGTGAGAAAAGTCCGGAAGTTACAAAAGTACCTCCAAGTCCCGTAAAAACACCTGCTAAATCATCCAAAAGAAGCTCTATGGGTGGTAGTAGTCCTACCAAAGTAACTAGCACACGTAGTTCACCTAAGGCTTCCACGGCAAGTCCTGATAAAGTTACACAGGAATCACCAGTTAAATCACCAACTGTAGAAAAAGCTTCACCAATTATTGAAACACCAGTATCTGTACCAGTGCCCGTAGCCACACCAGCTGCTGTTGTTACTAACGATCACATTGATGACGAAAATGATAAATCTTTAACTAAAATTGATAATACGCCTGTTGAATTGACTACTGAATCCTCGGAAGCAGAATTATGTACACCTCAAGTTGCTGAAGAAGCGCCAGAAATTCTACCATCTATTCAAGATGAGCCTGAAGCAGTTTCCAAAACAGCGACCGGTACTGCCGAAGCTAGCAAGATGGAGGTGTCTCCAGATGAGTGTGAGGAATTGCCAGATAAATTAGTAGCTGTTGAAAATAAAATTGAACAGGAAGACGAGCATGTAGAGGAAAAAGATTGTCCAAAAGAAAGTGAGGAAATTTCTGAGAGTAATGAAGATGTTGGCGATAATGATGCAACAAATTTAAATGAAAATAATAAAAGTGAATTAGATGATACAATGGAAGTCAATGACGAGGATAGTTATGAAAAATCGAGCATAATGAACGAAACAGCTGGTGACGATGTCAGTTCAGCGGATAATCAAGCCACTGAAGTCATGAAGGTTGAGCCTGAACAGGAAGAAGAGACAATCAGTCAATCAAAGCAAGGAGAGGTTGAAGGTGAGAAAGCAAATGAAGATTCTGGAGAGAAGAAAAAAGAACACGACGAGCATGAACCGAAAGATAATCAAGACAGACGTGATCGTAAAGACAGAAAAAGAAAACGTTCAAACAGTTCACAGGATGAGCGCCATAAAAGTCCTAGCAGGATGGATGATGAACCGGAGATTGATTATTCACGCGTTTTATTGTCCTGGTACGACTCTGATTTAAATTTGATAATCGACAAATCAAAATTTTTATCAGCAACGCCAATGCACAACGATGGATTTGGATATGTTTGGGCCGGTGCAAGAGCGTCGTTTGGTTTCACAAATGGTAAAGTTTACTACGAGGTTAAAATTACACATCAATGTAATGTTACATTGGATAATGAAGAGAATCCTCATATTTTACGTGCCGGTTGGTCTGTGCCATTAACTAGCATGCAATTGGGAGAAGAAAAATTGAGTTATGGCTACGGTGAAACGGGTAAAAAATGTACCGATAGTAATTTTACAGAGTATGGACCTGCCTTTGGTCTAAATGACATTGTTGGATGTTATTTAGATATGTCTAATGATGACGATGTTGTTATATCTTATTCATTAAACAATGAAAGTTTAGGTGAAGCATTTAGATTTCCAAAATCCGAGCTAGATGGCAAAGCATTATTCCCACATATATTGACTAAGAATTATGCATTCGTTTGTAATTTTGGCGACGAAGAACCATGGAGTACAAATGTTTTAGAAGGTTACACACCTGTTGGAAAAGTTGATGCCAATGAACGGATACCTGGAATTCGTAGACCTGATAATAGACAAGATTGTGAAATACTTATGATGGTTGGTCTCCCCTCTGCTGGAAAAACTGTTTGGGCAAACAAATTCTCAAATCAGAATTTGGAAAAAAAATATAACATTTTAGGTGTTAGCAATATCCTTGATAGAATGAAGGTACGTTATTTACTTATATTTTAATAATGAAAGAAAAAAAAAAATGATATTAAATTTTAACATTATTTAATTTTATAGGTCATGGGTTTACCGAGAAGAGATAACCACAAAGGAAATTGGGATCAACTGGTGGGAAAGTGTACACGCTGTCTTAATAAATTAATTGAAGTTGCAGCGACAAGAAGACGCAATTACATACTTGATCAGGTAAAAAATTAATCATCTATTTTCATTTTTTTTTTCTTAATATTTACTCTTTAAATATATTTAATCTTATATTTTTATGGAACTTGTACAGACAAATGTATACCCATCAGCACAAAGACGTAAAATGAGACAATTCAGTGGATTCCAACGTAAAGCTATCATAATAGTACCAACAGACGAAGAGTTTAAATCACGCGCTGCGCAACGAGAACAGGTTGATGGCAAAGATCTTCCTGATTCTGAATTTATGGAAATGAAAGGTTTGTTTTAATGATTTTTTTATTAATCAATAAAATTGGTGTGATTTGAAAAATAAAATTTTCTAATTAATTCTAGCCAATTTCGCCGCACCGACTGTAGGAGAATCATTTGACACGATTGAATGGATTGAACTTGACGAAGAAGAGGCTAAAAAATTGATAGCAAAATATAATAAAGAAGGCAAAGACGCCGGATTTGGTCAACAGCAATCAAGTAGTAGCAAAAGACCGCGATTGGAAAAGAGCGATACTCATCGAGACAATCGTGACATGCGGTCTAGTCGTGACAGTAGAGACACTCGAGATCATCGTGATCGACGCAATATTTGTAAGTTTGTTGTCTCTGTATTATATAAATTATAAGTATGAAAAAATTTTCATTGAAGATTGAAATTAATGAATAAAAAATTTGTTTTAGACTCTGATAGAAGTCGTAACTCATCGTGGCGTGGTAGCATGGGTGCTAGCGGTGGTGGTGGTGGTGGTGGTTGGAGAGACCGCGGACCTCGTAGCGGCCCGCCAATGAGACACAGCAGTAGTTACGGTAGTTCATCAAGAGGCTGGGGTGGTCGCGGCGGACCAAGTTCTTCACAATCACATCGTGGCAGTGACAGACGTGGAAGTTCATCCACTGATAGACGATCGGGAATTGTTGATCGCAGTCGATCGGGATCTTTACGACAAAGTGGCGGTTGGGGTCCCATGAAGTAAGTCTATAAATACAGCTTGAATATTTTATTTTTTTTTTTTTTTCCATTGAAAGTTATTTTTGAGTGATAACGTTTATTTTTTTTTTTTTTTTTGTTTTAGCAGTAACAGCTATCATAATTCATCACACTCATCAAGTGCATGGAGTGGAAGTGGACACAGTGGTGGTGGCTGGAGTTCTCAATCTCAAGCTCAAGCGTCAAATAGTTGGGGAAGTAGTGGTAGTGGTAGTGGTAGTTGGTCTGGGCAACAACAAAGTAGCTGGAGTAACTGGAAAGGTTACGGTGGTCAATCAAATCAGAGTAGTTATCAATCGGGTTACGGGAACGGTAATTGGGGTAGTTGGAACCAGCCACAGTATTACAATCATCAGTATTGGGGTCCGCACCAATCACAGAGTCAGTCTCTCAGTTCCTCTGGTCAATCTGTAAGGAAAACTTAAAAAAAGTGACTCTAGCTTTAGCTCTTTAACGACCACACACACGCAAAAACACACCCAACCGTCTGTTGATCTATTTTTCTTTTTAAACACAAACTAACTAATTAGTAATTATGGTTAATAATTGACTATCAAATGATGAATTCAATTGTCTGTTGGTAGAATAAAAACGCGATTATATTTTTAAAACAAGATTTTAAATTATCATCAACGTTAAACGTTAATCAATACTTTTGTCAATCATGAATTACTATAATTTTAACTTTTTATTTAAGTTAATAAAATAAAAAATATAATTCAAATAAAAAAAAAAAAAAAACAAAAACAAAACAAAAAAAAAACAATAATAATAACACAACTGTAACTTTTCTTACTGCGTTAATTAAAGAAATAAAATACGAAATTAACATTAGAATATATATTAAACGTGTAAGTTATGTTCATTCTTTGAATATTATAATAATAAATACTTGTATTTAATTTTATCTGACTACCAATGCATTCATTTAATGCCCTGATATTTTTTTTTTTTTTTTTTTTTAATAATCCAATAGCTTTTATTTTGACTTTCTTTTATTATTTTAATATTATTTAAAAATTATATTAGCTTTTTTATTTATTTGAGAGGTCGTTAAGGAGTTAATTTATTATTAAAATGAATGTATAATTTTATTATTAATTTGCATGACGCGAAAATAACAATTACTTGTAGGGAAGTACGACTGGAGGTAGTTCAACCTCAGCATCAGCAGCTAGTACAGGATCTACTTATAACAGCAATAGCAGTAGTTACCCACAAGGATGGCAATATTCGGCATCTTATTACTCAACTGATAGTTCGACACCTAATGCTCAGCAACAAAAATGAATTAATAATTATGATAAAAATAATAATAATACAAATAGTAGTTGTTGTTATCATTAAAAGTTTAAGTAAGTATTTTTTACTCAATGATTATTTAAATATAACCACTGGATTATCTATATCAAATTTATACGTTAGTTTGTAATTTCTTATATTCGTAGACGTTACATTTATATGATTAAATGTACGCTTTTATTGTTCAAACTACCACAAGTGAAAATAATTATTTGTCTCTATCAAATACTTTATATTGATAAAAAATATCAATATATATATATATGCACAAAATCAAAATACGTATTTGTTAAACGGAAGTATTTGTGTTAAAAATAATAAAAATATAGTCGTTGATAAAAAAACATTTTTTTTTTATGGCAAGAAAATGTAAATATGTACAGTGTTCGTCATTTATATTGTTAAACATAATCAGTAGTGATTCTTGTTTTGTATTTTTTCATTATTGTCATAAATTAAAGCAAATAGCAAAATAATAAGTAGCAGTTTAATAATAAAAAAAGTGTGCAGTTTTTAAATATTTATGATTAATTGTGATTAATTCGACAGTTACTGAAGCAGTTACAGTTAAAAAAACTAAACTTGCTTCACACATTCCGTTTTCTTCTTTAATGGTACTATCATCACAAGTATTATATTTATATTATCGGGCTTTGTTTAGGTTTTTTTTTTTTTTTATTTGATGTTTTTTAATAAAAAATTTCGATTATGCATAAATAATTTAAAAATTAACAGTAGAAATGAAATTAATTTTTTTGTTTTTGCATCTACGTAATTGAGTTTGCAATTAATAAAATAAAATGATATTTTGCACAGTTATGTTTAAAAATAAAATGTCTAATAATCGTGATTAAAAGTCTAAAATTTGTGTTGTAGTAAAATTTAAGTATGAATGATAATTAGTTGAAGTTTAGATCTATAATCCAGTGGATATTTCAAACAAATCTTAAATCGACAATTACTTATAATTGACTTTGACTATAATAATTACTAAATTTTATTTGATTGTCGTCGCATTATTAATAATCTGCCATATTTTGTCCAATGTGCAAAAACAAAAAAAAATTTAATTTCATGGATAGAATTATTATATTTTATAAAGTTTTGTAAAAATTACAGTCAAGAGCATGTAGTTAAATTACGATCATAATTAAATAATAATTTAATTTCAAGCACAATTATTTGAAGAATTAATAACAAATTGACAAACCTAGAATTAAATCGACAGTTGATTCAATTCACTTGATTGTAGTTTGACACCTTAATTATTATAGAATAAAACATATTGTTTAAAAATAATGGTCACAGTTATATTAATATTAGTTATAATAATATGTCATCTTTTTACATATAAATATATAATAACAAAGTAAAGGTACATTTAGAGTGTTCTATGGATTTATTCGTTGATACAAATGTACAAACTGATTCATTAAAAATAAACAAGTGTCTTATATAATTGTTTTTTGATTGTTCATTTGATCCTTTTATCCATTATAAATTTATAATTACTTACTATTTTATTAATAAATTCTAATCATAATGTTGTCATAAGGAGAATAAATAAATAAATTAATGAAAAAAAGAAAATAAAATAAAATAAAATAAAACATTGCATCTTCAACGTATATTTATGATCTCTAAAAAAGAATACAGTATATTTATTTTTGTATACAATATATTAATTAAATTAGTTATGAAGCTACCGGCGCAACAAACCAAAAAATAAAAAATTTTGTTTTTTTATTATTTATTAACATAAAATAGTATTAGTTTTTATAATAATGATTAATTAATTAATTAAAATTTTCATTTTTTTTTTTTTAAATAAAAAAATGCGTTAGAGATTCGAATTTTTAAAACATGATTGTTATAATGCAAGACTTGAAAGTTTTTTGTTGTAATTATCGAGTAGTCAGTATATTTTAAAATAAAATATACAAATGATGTATGTCACGGCTCTACTATTTTATATTTATAATAATAATAATTAATAATACAATAATTCATTATTTTTATAAAACCATCCAAAGTCACTAAAAAATGAAAATTCAAAATATTTTTTGTCCAATCAAAATATAATCAATTAAATTTATAAATTTAGTTTAATAAATAAATTTTTATATAAATAGTACGATACAAAAAAGCATAAATCTTAATAATTTTTTTTAATAAATTAGCAAACTAATAAATTTTATTTTGCTTTGCATATTATCAATGATAATAATTATTGTTATTATTATTTTAATAGTTAATAATAATAATAATGATAAAGAAATAATTATACTTTAAAAGCTTAATAAAATATATATTGAATAATCTGGCATCGAGGCAAGTGCAAGTACATTGTGTGAAACGTTATTTTTTAAATATATCGTTTATACGAGTTTCTTCAATAAGAATATAATAAAATAAATGTAATAATAATAGTAATAATAAATATTCCTTTCAGTTAAAAATATTTACAGTAAATGATTTCAGCAATCAGCAGTTGCTGAGATAAAAGCAATATAATATTAGTCTGAATAATTAATAAGAATAATAATAATTTAAATACATCAGCAAAAAACATTGATTGTTTTTTCTAATTTACAGTACTTTTGATAACACTGGGATTATTAAAAATATAATATTATCCTTTTGTGCAACAAAGCTACCTGTGTACTATTAATATTCAATACACACCTCAACTTATTAATTTTTCATCATATTTTTTTTCTTTTAGTTTACTTCTCCATTATAATTTATATAATCAACTATAATCTGGACTTAACAACATTTTTTTTTCTATCAAATAATAGGAAATAATTTACAAATATCTCTGTACAAATTTCGAATCTTGTCTAGTAGAGTGTAGGTTTAAATCTTATCAAATCGAAAAATTTATCATTCTTTTACACTTATTGTAGAGTCTAAGATTTCTAAAATTTATGTAACTTAATAATACATAATCACCTAAGACAGTAAAATATGAATATATTGGAGCTAGAAGAAGAAAACTATTATTAATAATTATTATTAATATAAATTATATTCCGGTTAATTATGTGAAAATACACATATTCCACTGGTCATAGATTAAGCTCAATTATTCAAATAATTTTCATTTTGATAAATCGATTGATATTTAACACATTAGCTCCAATATAATATAGACAATAATAACTACATAATATGACAGAAGCTATAATTAAGCTGATTGGACGGGATAGCTTTTTTATGTGAAAAGTATACAATAAAATTTTTATCAACAGATCACTAATAAAAGTTATCAATAATTAAAAATTCAATAAAGATTATAATTAATAATGCCAATACTTGAAACTAATATTTATCTATTAAAAATTAATTCAATTATTCACAATTTTGTTTTTATTTTTGTCTCGGTGGCGTTATTCTCTTTGTCTAAAATTATTTGTACAGTAACTACTCACATAGATCAGCGCAACACTTATGCGTACGTGTCATCCACTGTCACTGTTTACATCCATTTGGTCTTTTACGATTTCGACGGTTACGTTCTAATAAAAATGACAAGTCCAATGGGTCCTTCTTATTTGGCATTCGTTGGAGTAAATTTTTAAGGATCCGATTCAATCTTTTTCGTTGTTCTTCTCGCTGTATAAAAATTCATAAATTTTTTATCAATATGTTTAAATCAAAATGATATATGGGTGATTCTCTGTAAGGATGTTTTTTGCTGTCCCAGGAATTTTTTTATTAGAGAAATTGTTATTTTGTTACTAAAAAAAATTTATTACGAAAGTAAAAAAGCATTTCTATTTGAAGCATTGAAAACTAAAATGAAATAAATTTTGGTTTTTTTGCTATAAATTCGTAAACCACCGAAATAACAGTCCCTTGGGCTGTCCCATTCCCAAAATTAAAACTTTAAGATTAAATTTTAAGTTACTCGTCAATAATATATAATTTGGTCCATAATGTTTATAAACTCAATTAGTTAACTAACAATCTTCTTCAATAAAAAGTACCGAAAATTAATTTCTTTCATTAAATTCATTAAACCAAAGTTTGTCCCAGGCATTTTAAGAACAGTCCTCTGCCAGAAGTTCAAAGCCAAAAAAAAAAAAATCCAGCGTGTTATTTTACCTTTTGTAAGGTTTATAAGGATCTAACTAGCCTTGAGTTAATATAATAACATTAGGGCTGTTAGCGCTTTATCGGCATTTTATTTAGTGTTAAAGCACCGTTTGTACTGGAAATATGTGTCCGGGCCACTTCAAAACTCAGTCCCCTGGCAGCTATTTTTATTTATAATTTATTTATAAAATTGGATCCATAAGTCTTAATATTATTCTAATTAATGTAAACATTCATTGAGAACTTGAAAAGTTGAATGCATTGAAATAGTTTGCTTGATTTTTCTCAATTTGATAAAAAAAAAAAAAAAAAACAGTCCCCTGTCATGTTATATGGCAAAAGATACACAAATATCGAAAAAGCAAAAATTAATTCGGCTGTTTATTTATTATGATTAAGCTGATAGTTTGTTAGCCCCCGTTACTTTTTTTTCTAATAAAATCAAATATAATTTGGTCGGACAATTTTGTACAGATTTAAGACGTCTTTACAGAGAATCACCCATATATATTTAAAAAACATAATAAATAATGAAATAAAATATTACTTGAGCAGGTGACACCGTAAGTCGCGTAGTAGTTTGATCATCACATGATTTATTTCTGTTTTTTCCAACTGACTTTGATTGTTCTTTACCATTTACTTTAACATCAATCTCCGTTTTATGATTATGGTCATTATCCATATGTGCTGCGCTCTTTTTCTTTTCTCTCATCGCTTTTATTGCTTGTATACTTTCCAAACTGTGAGGCTGCAATTATTAAATTAATTTTTATTATTAAAATTTAAAGAAAAAAATAAGTATATTCAACTACTCACAAAAAAACTAAAAGATCAATAAATTAATAAAATATTTTTTCTTTAATTTATTCATCTCTCTTTTTTTTTTTTTTTTTTTTTTTTTTTTTTATGCAAGTAGCTAGACTTGATCGAAGACTTACCAAATAAGTACGATAGTGTTTAATACGTTGCGGAAAGGTTTCAAAAGCATATGGTTTAGTACAAACTTGATGACGAGCTCTAGCAACTTTAGTGAACAATCTAGCAGCTCTGTCAACTCTATATTCACAAACATAAGTGTGTTCCGGAGTAGCACCAACAGGTCGCCCTTTGCAATAGGTGTGAGGATCAAGTACCCAGCATCTTTCAGCAACTAAATCGCACGGCACAGCTTCATAAAGCGGCGCACAAACAACTTCATTTTCATAAAACTTTCTCGTTGGCTCGTGGTAAGTTTCATGGGGTCGTAAATAATGATGACCAAAAACAAATCTTTCACCTTGATCGTTTTTCCACAATCTTTCAATTCTAAATATATCCATTTGTTCATAATCAAACTTTTCAAGAGTTTTGTATGTGTGTTTTTCAGGTGTATCACGTAATACGTAGACAGTATCACCCTGCCTTAATTGTAATTCACCACGCATCAGAGTTACGTAGTGTTTTTTACCTTTTTCCTCTTCCTCGCCCTCAAGCGGTATTTCATAATCAACAGGTCTCGGTTGACACCGTTCACATAGATAAGATTCAGCAGTTGTATCAGCTTTAACGCAGTCGCAGTGTTGCCATACTAAACACCGTTCACATTGTATCATTAAACCTTCATCTCTGTGTAAGCCACAAATACATCTGATAACGTCTTCTTCGCCAGCTGTTGAGCCTCGAGGCGGTAAGAAACATTGGGCAGGTGGTGACCCTGTTGCTTCTGTTATTGCTTCAATGAAGTTTGTTTTACTTCCTAAGTATATTTTACGTAGGCGAGCCGCTGCGATACCTACTTCAGATGTTCTGCCAAAGTATTTAACATTATTATCAAATAATTTAATAATATCCTGATCAAATTGTTCTGCTGTTTTATAATGACCAGTACTAATACCCTGATCAATAATCGTTAAGTCTATCGGATCTTGAATTTTCTCATAATAGTTTGGCAATTTTCTTTTAGGTGGCAGAGTAATAAATGGCATACAAAGTAATAAACTATTTTCATCGTTAGCAGTAGCAATAACATTATACAAATCTTTTAATACTTTAGCTAACTTAGCAGTTTTATTAACCTCCGGATCATCTTGAGCTTGAGCTAAACGACGAGTCCTGACAGTCCGTGATGCATTATTCGTCAAAGCTGTTAACTGAGTAAACAACGCTGCTTCTGATTGTGACTTTGACTCGGTAGTTATTTTTTCTTTAGCGGCAGGAACAACTTTATTATCTTTGCTCTTAGCTTGAGTGTTTACTTGCTGAGCCACTGGCGTCTTCATACGTTTAACTTTCTCTAAATTCCTTAGCAAGAAACAGTGATGCTGTTGTGCAAAATATCGCTGTTGCTGTGACATAGGTTTAACCATCGGTGTATTTATTAAACTTGAATCCCCAACTTTACGAGTCTTACACAAGCCTTTTGATGTTGCTTGTACTTGATTTGATTTACGTATATTTTTGCGTGGCCGACCAACAGATCTACGTTCGGTATTTTCGACAGACGGCAAAGCTGGAGTGGTGAGTGGTCTTGCAATACGTTGACTTTTGCCACCAATAACTCCACGACATGCACTGCTACCGCATCTACATATTTGTCCTTCCGATGGATTAAATAGAGCAAAGTTATAATCATAAGTCAATTCTTCTCCAGATTCAATATCACGCAACGCGAATAATGCCATGCGTGGTAAACCGTTGACACTCCATTTTTGCATTTCACAATTCGGCTCGCATGAATGATTAACAAAACGTCCGTCCCCACCCATACGATGCCCATCAATTACTAGTCCGCCGTCTAAATGAAGACAATAATGATGCGTGTCATTGGCGTATCTTGTCGCCATTCGTGATTTGAATTCCCTTTCAGAAACAACTTCACCGACATACTCCAGTATGAAACAACCTGTTTTAATGGAATCCTTTGTTCTGACACCCCATCCTTTATTTTCTGTCATGAATCTTTGCAAGCCCGGTGTCCACTCGTGTCGTTGAATTTTCTGATTACCGCAACCGTCGCCGCAAGGACACATCTGCGATGAACATTCACTGAAAACCATGCGATTAATACAATCATCGCCACAACCACTGTCTGTTTTACATTCACATGCCTGTGGTTCATACAGGGTTGTCGGTTTAACATCATAATAAATATTCGTACGTATTTTTCTGTAATTCCAAGAGGGCACCAAGTCACGGCCAGGCAAACGTGAGTGTGTGTGGAGCCACCAAAGATCATAAGGTAATTGAAATGGTATTTTACGTTGTCGTAAAAATTTACCACAGTGATAGGGTGGTGGTAGCAAACCATGTGGATGCTCTGCTGGATCATATAAAAGTTTATTTTTACCAGCGCCGTCAGCATTTGTAACTTTACGCGGTTCATCTTCTTTGTAGTAATCTGAGAAGAGCCCAGCTGGTAGATATCTTTTCTTCCATCTCGGCTGTTTCTTACGTAAATGCAATGAGCCCTGTTGTTTACTACCGACTTCTGGTCCATCACTCGCAACATCGCTGCTTGGTAATGCGTCACTCTCAGTATCATAACCAGCAGCATTATTTTTAAGCCTCTTAATACTTCTTAGTGTTAAATTACACGGACTAGTTGAACCTCTTCTACGTTTGTGATTGTTATTAAGATAACCTGGTGAATCAATTATTTTAGATGACCCACTTGAATGAGAATTTGTACGTTCAAGTTTCTTTAAATTTTCCTCGTTTAATTCAGCTATGCGCTGACTCTGATTGTAACGTTCCAATGACTCTTCAAGTGTCGCATTTTCATCATAAATTCTTGAATCTTGAATTCTTTCATACTTGACTGGGCAGGATTTATCACACGGTTTACTACCATCACACTCAACTAAGTCTTTTCGTACTCTCAATCCGGATCCATGGCAAGTGTCTGTCATTTCATCAGAATAGCTGTGACAAGATAATTCAGGAAAATCTTTAAAGTCATTTGTATCCATTTTACCGTCATCATCATCATCATCATCATCATCATCATCATTATCATCTTCATCGTCAATAATACCACAATCATCATCTTCCTCGTTATTATTATCACTATCTTGATTTTTAGTCTCATCTACAATAGGTAGTACGGTATTAACATCGCTTTCTGACAGTACGGATTTTTCTTCAACTTTAGATATTTTTTCTAAATCTGTTATTGTTATGTCAACACGGGGCACTAGCGTTAATTTGTCTTTATCATTAACATTATTAACATCATCATTTTTATCATCATCATCATCATCATCATTATCATCATCATCATTATCAATAACTACAGCGATTTTCTTTTTCTTCTTTTTCTTGAGTGTTGGAAAACCAGTTCGATTAATAGCTTTTCTTCGACGTACTTTTTTCTTAGTAAGTATTAATGCTGCCATCGGATTAACTGGATTTGGTACGTTCAATAACTCTTTTTTATTACTATCTTTACGATCTATAACGTTTATTTTACCATCTGTATCTCTATTAGCTGAATTAATCTTGTCATTTTTATCGGATGATGATTTTTTTTGCTGTTCATTTTTGTCATTTTTTTCAGACTGCTGCTGTTGTTGTTCATTACTCTTGTCAACTGTTTTTAACTGCTTATCAATAACTTTATCCACCTTGTTTGTACTTTTATCTGTACTATTTTTATTATTAATCTTTTCATTGGTCACTTTATTGTCAACTTTGTCTCCATTATTTGCTGTGAGATTGTTGTCCGATGTAATTAATTTAGTGACAGTAACACGTAAATCGCGTACTATTTTTTTCTTACGACGTGGCGGTTGATGCTCTGAACGATTTAAAGGTTTGTCTTCGGTGTCAGAACTTTCGCTAGCTGTTTCGGCAACAGCGGTACTGTCAGTACCATCACGTAAACGTTTTTTTAGTGTTTGAGAAGCAATATCTTTTTCTTTTTGATTATGTAAATTGCTAGACAGTGATGATGATGGACTACCACTGTATCTTTCAATAGTTGCTTCAATAGCTTCTTCAATATGGCTTTCCATTGAATTTGATTCATTTGGATTGGTATCAGTCGAGCTGGCATTTGAACTCTGTGAACTGTGTGGGCTCGATAAATGATAATGCCGTTTTTTCAATGGCAATCTCTGTTCATTAGGATTTGACGGGGTATTTGAATTTTGATTACTGCTCTTTGAATCTCCACTGCTACCACTGCTAGAAACTTTGTCTTTCTTTAGTCGTCTTTTCAATGATTTTTGTTCGTCATTAGTACTCGAATCACCTTTTCGTTTCTTAGTAATTTTTTTAACGCGAAATATTTGTGGTAATTCAGTATTTGAAATGGTAATACTTTTGCCAAGACTGCATAATTTTGCAAAATCATCAATAAGTTTTTCCAACTCTTCGACAATTAGCGGATCAACACGTAATGGTTTTTTCGGTGGTACAACAACCCGTCGTTTGTGCTTATGATGGTGATGATGATGATGGTGATGGTGATGATGGTGAGAATTAGCATTATTGTTGCTGTTATTGTTTTTAAAACGATGATTTGTTGATTGGATAGATTTATCACGCTTGTCTGTTTTTATTTCAATATCCTCAGCTTTCATATCAATAGGAACAGATATTACTGTTTGCACGCCAACACCACTTGTTTCAGATATTTTTTTACAAGTTTTATTTTCTTTATGAACACGTTTTGGTGCTGAAAGTGCAGATGTTGATGATGCGGTTATTGTTTTCTTTGATAAAGTTTGTTTTTTATTTGCCGATGGTGAAGAACAACATTCAGAAATCCTATTTTCCTTTGAACCTTTTTTCATAGCAGTGTTACTACTATTATTAATAGTTTTATCATCACTGAAAGTATGATCATTGCTGATTTTTTGTCTCAATGGTGAAGTACTTTTATTTGACTCAGCAGATTTATCATGCCGTAATTTTTTGTACACTTTTTCGCATGTTTTTAATGTATCCTTATCCTTATTAGTTACTTTTTTATTACTAGCATTAGATTTATTATTCAGGCACTTATTATCATCATGTGAATTATTTTTATTATCAGTCGAACAAGTTTTATTTTTATTATTACTATTAGTACAAGTATTAGTACTAGTAGACACCGAGGTTTCACCGTTATTAACAATTGTTTTTTTATTTTTTAACCTTTGATTCCTCGGCAATTCTTCTTTATTTTCTTGTTGCACCGTTAATTTGTTAGTACTTTTTGTCAATTGTTTACCACGTTTGCTAGTACTAGTATCCCGTTTATTAGTACTGACAATAGGACTTGAATTTCGTTCAATTTTAGTGATTTTTTCAACAACATCCGGCTTCAAACGTGGCCTGCCAGGACCACGTGGTTGTGTTGACACCATTTTAGCAGGTCTACCAGGTTTTCTTTTTGGCGGATATAATACTCGATCAACATTAACTGCCGGTTTTGGTGGAGGTGGTAGTGGTGGTGGTGGTGGTGCTGACGCTGGTGCCGATGTTGATTGTACTGGTGATTGTGAACGAGCAGGCGGACTAGCTGGAGTTGTTGTCAAATGCAGTGGACTATTATTAACGGATTGTATACCAGAGTCTGGTGACACATTAGCTGTGCACGCGTATTCAGAATCGGCTGTTTTTTTACCAACTTTACTACGTCTCTTTCGTGGTTCTGATAATAACGCTGTTTTTTCAACAAACTGTTGTAATAACGTTGAACTGTAAACAGGCACTGGATTTTGATCGGTATTTTCACTAGAATCTGAATCAGCACTCAATGACATACGTTCAATAGCTTTTGATACTAACCGACCACTTTCTGAGTCTTCGAAACCATCGAATGGTGTATCCTCCTGATCAGGAATAATTGCTGATAAATGTTCTTGATCAATTTTTTGTAGAGGAGGTTGTGATGATGGTGATGATGATGATGATGATGATGATGACGATGAAGATGATGATGATGATGATGACGATGATGAGTGTTGATTCTGCTGCTGCTGCTGCTGCTGCTGTTGTTGTGGTTGTTGTTGTTGTTGTTGTTGTTGTGGTTTTTGTTGTTGTTTTTGTTGTTGCAGCTGCTGTTGCTGCTGTAATTGTTGTTGTTGTTGTTGTTGTTGTTGTTGTTGTTGTTGTTGTTGTTGTTGTTGTTGTTGTTGTTGTTGCTGCAGCTGTTGTAATTGTTGTTGTTGTTGTTGTTGATTTAAATGTGATGATTGATTTTGTGATTGTAATTGTGATGTAACTGGAAGTGATGATTGATTCACTGTAGATATCGGGCCTGCCGACGAATCAGAATCATCAGAAGTACATTCGGATGTTTTCAACGTTGCTTTGGACTTACGCGTTAATATTTTTTTAGTAACTTTACTATTATTATCACATTTAGATTTATTATCAGGAATTACGACATTATTATCAATATTAATATCTTTTTTTTGTGCTTTCAAACTTATTTTTAATTTAAGACCCCCCTGATCAAAATTTGTTTCACGTATGGAGAATGTTTGTTCGCTATGCTCGGAAGAACAATCTGAATTACTGACAGAATCGTCAAATTCATCACCACTGCTCTCATCGTCCGATTCAGAGTCAGAATATGAACAGCTGCCATCGGTACCACCAGAACTTTCATCATCTGAATCAGAATCTTCCTCTGAATCAACAGACTCACTATCATTTTGTTCAGTTGCAGGAACCCAACTACCACCACCTTTTATGGCGTCCATGTCCACGGTAGATGGTAATTCGCGTTCTGGTTCGCCATCGTTTTCGTCCCAATTCCAGTTCTGAAGCTCGAGCTCCGACGGACGATGGATAACAGCGTTCCATCCTGAATCACCTGACATTTTTCCGTTTAAATGACATTCACAGGTTTCATATATCAACCGTTTGTACTGATGATCGTGTTGTTTATCACCTTCAGTAGAAGAGTTCTGCAACGTCAATTACCTGATTTAAAACAAATATAAAACCATTATTAAAAATATACAGCTAATAATATAGTAAATAAAATGATATTACCTTGCATTATTTGTATTGAATAATGATTCGTCAATTGACAAGTATAATATATGATAATAATAGTGTATTAATTAGTAGTTGGACAGCTGTCTTTTGATAAGCAGATGTAACCCCCAGGTGCATCAGTTGAATTGGCGCGAAAAATAATATACCAATTTATATTTAACGCACTTTTATTGATGATGCATGTGTATCTATTTATTACTAGCCAACAACGATATTCAATTATGCCTGGGATTATTTAAAAATTGTCAAAACTTACACAACATATATACAAACACAATTAGAAAGTTTGATCTGTATGTTTACGTATCTTCATGCGTGCTACACAAAATGGCGTTGGTAAATTTAAGTGCGTACATATACTATTAATTATTTATTGTTATTATTTATAATTGTATTTATTATTACTTTTAAATGTTAAACACTTAAAACATTTGATTTGCTATTGATAATAGCATGGTATCCGCACCTGCGGATTATTAATGTCACACAATAAATCACATATTTTCACGGAAATGTCGTATAATACGCATACAACATCGCGTCTCACATTATTATTTTCTCTTGACGGTCAGTGCATCACGAACACCGCCAAGTGGATTATTATTTAATTCTACTCTCAAAACTCGATCGACAATATCGCTCACATTTTTATTGTTCCTTCGGCTCCTTTTCCACTCTCACAATGAGAAAGACATAATCCGGCTCTCGACTTTTTAAATTTATCCTCATCATTTATTTTTTTTTTTAATTAAAACAATTAACCATGTAAAACATATTTAGTTTTTAAAAAATCTAGAAAATAAATTTTTTTTTACTTATATTTTTTTAATGACAGTAATTTTTTAAGATAATAATTAACTATTAAATATTTCAGGTCATAAAATTGTATTATACCCACTTACTAATTACTTTCTTACAATTGGCTTCAAGAAAGTCATTAACTGTCACTTTAACTTTGACAATAATACATCAATTGTTAAGTTTCCTTTAACGCTTTAAAATTGAATACTATCCCAGTAGAGGGACGACAGGTAACCCATAACAATTTTGTTGATTAATCTTAATTTTTTTTTTTTCACCACCAATTAAAAAAGAATATTAATAATAATAACTTTTTCCTAACGACTCTGAAAAACAATATTAAATTTTATCACAATAATAAAGTGAATAAATTATTTTTATTTTTAATTTATAGGATCTAGAAGCTCTACTATCGGCTGTTGAGAGTATTAAAACTTTAAAAATAATTTTAAGAAATTATTTTACAATCAATTATTTCAAAAATATTCCATTGTTTGTTTTATTGTTATAATTTTTAAGAAAATCTGCTGTACCATCATAATTTCAAACCTATCTCGTACAGGAATTTATATATATATATATATATCTACAGCTTCTGTTGAAACATAGAGCGCCATCTTCCGTGGTGTCCAAAAAAATAAAGTTTGTTTTTCTGGTCTGGATAATAATAATAAGTTAAACATTCAGATTTTCAATACACACGTGGTGGTAATGAAAAATAAAATCTAAATAAATTAATCTTTATAAAACTTAGTGAAAATTTAAATAATTCAAGTTATTAAATTACAACAATGAGTAAAATTAAATCAGCAACCAGTAATAAGGATAATTTAAGTGATGAATCAATAAATGGGTGCATAACTGTTGATGATTCCAGTTCCGAGGATATACAAATAGTTTACAGTGATGAATCTCCCAGTGACTGTATCCCCATCAAAAATTTCGTCAATCATTTACAGGTAATTTTAATAATTAATTAAATTTAATGACTTTCTATAAATTGATTAATGTTTTTCATTGTGTTTATTCAGGACTCATGCAATGTACCGCCAAAAAAAGTGGTCAAGAATAAATTCAAAAGTCCAATTACTATAAAAACAAATTTAATGAAACCACTACCGAATATTTTACGTCATTCATGGTCTGCTGGATACAAAATTCCTCGTAGAAAAACTAAAATTCCTCGTGAATTTGAGTTTAATGAATCAAATCTCAACGTTACGATTGGACCGTCTATAATACCCGAGTCAGTAATAAAAAAACGAGAAACTAAAAGTGATAAGCAAAATCATGAATCATCTAGCGAATCGCAATATGAAGTAGACACATCAACAGATTCGGATGAATTGGATAACACAATAGATACAAATACATCAGTGCTGGATGAGTCAATACCAAATTTAGATGATTCAGTTTCATCTGATGACAAAACATCACTTCATTTCTATTGTCTGAGAAATAAAGTAATTTGTGCATTGAATGCTCATAAACATTTTTCATTCCATGGTAAATTAAAAATTAAAGTACTCTATGGCGCTGTTGAAATTTACGGATATACCTTAAATAAATCGAATACCATTACACCGGTAGAGATTTATTCACCCCGTAGTTCTAATTTACTACGTATACAGAGTGCGTGTAGCTCTGAATCCAGTGACTTAGATGATTTATCAGTTGCTTGGGACGCATTGAAAGAAGATAACATTGACTGTAATTCAGAAGCATTCACGACATTCGTTGACAATATCCAACCTGGTTGGTCTGTTTTTACACTCCAAAATTTTGATAATAATTTGACTGATTTTATCGAAAGACATTTTTCTCATCGTCTGTTTCCTACATTCGAAAGTAGCACTAACAATTGCTGGACACAACTTCGTAGAGCTGAAATTATTTTACAGAGTTACATCTTTCCAACGAAGGCACGTAAACGAGTTATTAGTTTCAATAATACTAAAGAAACTGTTGAAACAGTTGTTAATGATTTTATATCTAGAAATTCATCACGAATAATTCTAGCTGGTGCCAAAAATCTTGGTAAATCAACGACAACACGTTATCTAGTTAATAAATTATTACAAAAGACTGAGCAAGTTATAGTACTGGATTTTGACCCTGGGCAGAGTGAGTTTACTCCAGCGGGATGTGTTTCTATGAGTATTGTTAGAAAACCACTTCTAGGGCCTAATTTTACTCATCTAGAGAGACCGTTTTATCAATTTTACATTGGTGGAATTGATGTGACTCGTTGCTTGACTAATTACATCGAAGGAATTAAAAAAATAATTGAATGCTCAAACAATTACTTAGACAAACATAATAATTCAGTACCGGTTATTGTAAATACTATGGGTTTTTGTAAAGATCTCGGCTGGGATATTATGTGTTATATTATTAAGAGTATTGAGCCGACAGATGTCATTCAGATTAACTCTAAGAAGACTAAATGTAATTATGATAATTTATTACAGCACCAAGTTGTTATTAATGAGGTAAGACTGATTAATGATTTTACCTTTAGTAAATTTTTGTAATAACAATTTTTTTTTTTACATTTCGACAGAAAAGTTCAGGATTAAGTTGGACAAGTGTTGATAATACTTCATTAAACGAATATAAACATTATCTCGTTTATTCAGATGCTGAGTTTCGAGGTAAAAGTGGTGAAACTTGGAACATTGAACCTCACCAATTAAGAGACATTGCAATGCTAGCTTATTTGAGTGATATAACAAAAGTTATAAATAACACTAAATCGTATTTTACCTCAACAAGTATACCAGCAACTATCAATGAGATAACGCCGTATCAAATTTCATTTTCGTCAGTCAAAATATCACTTGGATTTCCGGTTGTTTCTCACGTACTGTCTGTTATCAATGGTAATATCGTCGCTTTATGTGGTACTGATTTTGATGATGACCAATGTGATACTGAGAAAGTATCATATCCAAAAGTACTCGTACGAGCACCTCTAGCTACATGTTATGGATTCGGTAAGTTAAAAAAAAAAAAAAATATTTTGAATGCAATGTTCTTGACTCATTAAAACTGTGTAGTATTCTAAATTTTGTTATAATAATTTTTATTTTAACAGGAATTGTTAGAGGAATAGACATGGAACAAGAAAAAATATTTCTAAATACTCCATTGTCTGTTGATGAGTTAAAGTATGTAAATTGCTTAATCGGAAGCATCCAAGTTCCTGCTGGCTTACGACAACTTAATAAATCTGGTTTGCCGTATACAAGTGGTGAGTGTAATTTACCAACTAGTCGAGATCCAAGAAGAGGATGCTTTCATATGAAAAACCTCAAAGATACGTCACTCTTATCTATCGATGATTAACTACTTTTTCATGTACATTGATAAAGAAATTACATCATTAAAAAAAATATTTTTTATGCAATAAATATTAGTTGTACGGTTTATGTTCATTACAGTTCTGGTAAATACATCTATGAATAGAATATTAAATTGCTGATAACGTAACAATCTTCACAATATAAATCCTAGTGAATATACATCAAAGCAAAAGCATACGGTTAATTTATCCGACATCACTATTATATATACTATTATGCAGTTAGATCCATAACATTTTCCTCCGATAATATATATATTCACATTGCTACCCCTCATTAAGAGCGATTGGGAATATTGTTAGAGTATATTATTTTGATAATTATAACTTTATTATTATTTAATAAAGAGTTAGTTATTATTTTAGCCAAAGTACTCGATTCGATTTGAAAACTATTCAATTTTTTTCACCACAAAATTTTCGGTATGAGATCTCATACCAACCATACAAATTTTTCGAATTGTTTAAAGATGGAATTTTTTACATTTAGAATTTAAACAATTCTAAAAATTTGTATTTAAAATCAAAAATTTTAATTATTGTATTTTCACCCGAGGATGGTATGAGATCTCATACCGAAAATGTTGTGGTAAAAAAATTAATAAAAATTGAATAGTCTTCAAATCGGATCAGGTACTTTGGCTAAAATAATAACTAACTTCTTATTAAGTAAAAAAAAAAACGCCATTCGGCCACACCCGAAATGGAAGGTAGATTTCACTGAATGAAATTATTGATAGAATGACGTGCATAAGTCGGTTGTACTACAGATTGCCTGAAAATGGTTCAGTTGCACTCTTAACTTTGATAAAATAACTGAAAATGGTCAAAATGTTAATGTTATATACGTCAAATTAAAGGTAATTTCATAGCTATTACATGAATTTTTCAAAAATTAGTTATCTCTGTTCAATCAAAAGTTATACATCAATGAAGTGGCCAAAAACGTGATTTTCACTATTTTGAAAATTTTAAGTGGCTGCCATTTCTAAACTAATTGATCGATTTTGCCCATCTTCGAACTCGTTCAAGGTAAACATAAATATATAAACTTTTGAACCAATGCTAATTTTGAGCTTTACTCGGCTACATAAGAGATAAAATGACAAAATTCCGTGTGAATTCCGATCTTCACATCACATATTGAATTTATTATTATTATTATTATTATTATTATTATTATTATTATTATTATTAGAGACATTAGTTGAAGACATTTTGCTTTCTGCGCTTTCTATATTGTTTCTCATTATATATTATTTTTTACTTTTTCATTTCTTTTTGACAAAGCACACTCTGTACAATAGTTTTCTTCTGTATAAATAATTTTTTTCTTTTATATCTTTGTATATTCTGTACCTTTTGGCTATCAGGGGACTTAGTCCTATAGCCAGTAAATAAATACATTACATTATTATTTTTGATACTTTTATTACTTAATCTAATATTTTTTATTTTTCATTTAAATTATACTTGATACATCCAGAATAAACTTGACGATATCGATACACTCAAAATATGTCTTCTGAGTTAAATATTTTTGATTGACATGTTCAATAAAATTGATCACCTCAACTCAGTACTATTTTGTGATTTTACACGATTACCTATTCTTGTAGTCGTTAATAATAATTTATAATTGAAAATGTATAACTCATTTAAAATTTACTTCTAAAAGAAACAAATCCATAGTCAAATGTCGTGATAATATATTAAAATCGCATAAAATGATAGTACGAAATTGATTTAAATGACATTAGCACGTGGTAATAAGAAAAATAATCTTGAATTGAGAGCAGGGCGTCTCTAAAAATACGATAAACATACTAATGATACTTGACACTTGAACAAGTGCGACAAAAAATACAACTAGCTTAAAAAACGTGTCAGTAAATAAAAAGGGGATGAGAGATATGAGGAAAAAAAGTAATAAAAAGGGAACTGATGAATGAAAACGCGGATTCGCGTTTGTTGGGTTAACGGCATACACATAAAGGGGCGACAGTTTCAGTCGCTCTCGCTTACACTTGGCTCGGAAACATTCATTCATAAAGTTTGTTCCAACCTCGGGGCAATACCAAATACATAGAGTAAAGTGTGAGAGAGAAAGATACCGAGTGGGAGAGTCAGTTGAGAGATTTGAGGGGGTTGAAAAGTACAAGGACAGAGAGAAGAGAGGGTTTATAGTTGGTGCAAGTTTTAAAAAAGGGGCTCTCTTTACTACTCTTGCTTTTTGCTTCGCTTATATATATATATATATATCTGTACCAGTAACTTTAAGTATGCAAGAATTCAACCCTGTACTGTGTACTGAGTAGCTAGTAGAGTTGGCTCACTTGTTCGCGATACGATGAACTCGATAGCCCAACAACGACAGGTGTTGTCGCGCGCCGTTAAGAAAGAGAGTCACGATATAAAAATGTGAGGATAAAAAAAAAAACTTATTCACTCGTTTTTTTATTAAGAGCTACAAGCAAAGAGACCGACAAAGCTTTTTGCAGGCTCATACAGCCTGTTGAAAGTCTTTGAGGTCTCGTTTACCACACGATTGTTTGATTTAAATCTACGGCAAAAAGAAAATATGTAAAAACACACTGAGCCAACAAATAAAAGTAACACGGAGAAATGCATAACAATAATAATGATGACGATGATGATGATGGTGCTAATAATAGTAATAAAAAAAAATTAAAAAAAAGTGTCTCTATTGAATAACTCGAGGTTTATATTGCTTTTAAAAGTTGACATTGTGATGTCAACAAAGATGAATAGATCAGGTTATTCAACCTTCTGACATTCCGAATAAATTGAGAGTTAAAGAACACACTTGGGACCGTGTGTAAAAAAAATGTAGAGCAAGCAGTCAGACGACAGGAAAGGTGGATAGGAGCAAGAGAAAAAGCCATTTGATAAAGAAAAGAAAGTATGTATGTATGTATATACATACATATAGATATATATCTGTATAATATATAATATAATATAATATAAAGTGGAGAGGAACTAAAAAAAATTTCTCCTGTGAGGCAGGCCAAGGGAGCAGTAAGAGTATATGAATAGATATAATAGCGGGGTCAGTTCTCTTTTAATTTGTTTAGAATTGAATTTTATTTAATTTTTAATTGAAAAGCGTCTGGTCTGGAGCGTGAAATGTCTTTTTTTTAAATATTTTTTCGTTCATTCATTCATTCAACTTCTCTCTTATGACATCATTAATTATTATTTATGAAGAATTATGAGGTAAGAAGTTAATGGAGTTATTTATTATAAAAAAGAGGATTTAGGAAGTTAATATTTGATGTCTTAAGGTTTATTACTGATGCAACATCGTGTTTCTGACGACAGGGTAGAGAGTTAGTTATATGTGTACAGCATTCAGAGAGTCACAGACCGGTACTAACAGTTAAGTGCGTTCGGCGAAAGAGCCTCTCACAGCAGGACCGGTTTTTAAAGTACAGGGTGGATGCGGTGAAATCGTACAATCGGAAGTTGACCTCAAATTCACTCAGCGATTTCACCATCTGCACCCTGTATATGCACTTTAACACACTCATAAAGTAAAACGAAAAAAAAAAAAAAGAAACCCAAGTTGAAAAAAAAAAAATCTATGTCTACATCATCTAGAAACGCAAACAAAGAACTAAACCTACTTTCCCTTTGCGTAGTGCCTTCTTACTGCTTAAACTTTGGGCTGATGGAAGTAGAAGGACGTAGACGGACACAGTAGATAGAGGATCATGTTAGGATAAAAAGAAAAGAAGAGAAGAAGTAGAGTCTTATCTGCGTTTGGACATTACATAGTAAGCCTAAATAAGGAAAAATATAACGTAACTAAACAGATAACCTTGTGTCTTATTGTGGACTCTGGACCCTGAACTGCTGTAGGGGATTAGTGCAAGCGAGTTTTAGGATTTAGGCTCAAAAATTTAGTGGACGGCTCAAAAACAACGGACCAAGGGAATAGTAAGAATTTAACAATGCATTACACAATAGAATAAACTTAAACTTGGTCATTCTGTAGGTTGTCTATTTGTACTGAGGGACAGGATTTATAAAGCGACAATCGAGAAGTATCTTTGAATCTTCTTTTCCCTTTTACCGTTTTTTTTTTTTTCTCTTCAACATATATCTCTTGGGAGTTGGACAAAGTATGCGTTATAACTGGGGCAGGACTTTTAGAAAAATGAAAAAAGATCTTTACGTTGATACAGATATAGATGTATGTGTATGTAATAGAAGGAAAAGCGTAAAAAGGAAAGAAAGAGTGGAGTGAAATGGGGAAAAACATCCCCAGGACACCATGAAAGACCGCATGAGAAGCTTCTAAAATGCTGTGTGCACAGATTTACGGTACACATACAAGTTAAAGGGAGATGGAGTAATTTTCGCAAGAGACGAGAGTATGTAATGTATAGATATAGGTAGACGTATGATAGAGGGACAAGCAAAGTCGTGGGAGGAATAGTAGAGGATAAAAGATTTTGAGAGAGAGAGAGAGAGAGAGAGAGAGAGACAGGGAACATCATGTCGATCGGAGTATCTGCGAGAGCTCGGTGTTTAGCTGCGCATGCGTGGGATCTTGTGGGCATTTTCAAACACCCGCCATCTTTATTCTTCATTTCCTCTCGCCCCTTTATCCTCCGCAAGTGTGCACATGCTATTTTTTTCTGGTTACGTTACGAGAGCAAAGAGACGGTTGATGGAGACGATTATCCCAAGCGTTTCTACATCAACCATCCAACTAACCAACTATACTCGGTATAGTAATACGGAGGTCTCCATTCTCTCTTGTGCTTGTGTTACTCTCTGCATTATTTCGCTTTGTCCATACTATACTCGGTGATATAAGAAACCTTTTTATAGCAGCTGTCGGGTAAAGGTTCACTTAGTTTAAGGTACAATGTACATCCAAATAAAATGTCGATGTCGAGGATCGAGGGTCTTCAATCTATTCTCGTATCGTATCGTGGATTTTGGAAAATATAAATTCAGGGGTCGTAATTGTAAAAGGGATAAACATTGATGGAAGAATAGAAATGTAGAGGCTGAGGTAAAGGTAAAGGTAAAGGTAAAGATTGCCGTGGTTAGGAGAGACAGGTAGTGTAGAATGACAAGAAGGGTTAGCCGTAGGGAAGATTCAAAAGAGAAAGACAAAAAGGATGAAAAGAATGAAAAGGGGATGGATTGTGTGGGTGATACACGCAGCAGGCAGCAGGGAATGAAATGAAAGAGGAAGCTCTATGCTCTATCCATGGCCCGTGGGACGTCTGCAGACACTCCACTCGCTTGCGAACATACAACACATACACACGGCAAAGGCTTTTCTCGTATTCTATTGATTTTTCCAAAAATTTTGCTGGTGGGAGTTGTAGAGTTGACTGTCGGTTGTGCGCACGGACATACATACCTCTGTCGGCCTTGGTGTGTTGGTAAAGATCGTGGTGTGCTGACGCTCTCAGTCTGTCTCACTTTCAATACACGGGTATTATGTATCCATCCATCTTTTCCTCTCTCTTTCCCTTGTATTTACACTCTCCTTTCGTCTCTTGTACGGCTGTCGCTTCATCCACATCCACCTCGTGGCTCTACTCTGGAGTTGCCTGCCCTCTGCCGCACCAACTCACCCGGTCCAGCAATTCCGGACTACTCACCCCCTACGCCCCTTACCCAGCCCCCTCGCCCGGCCCGTCCTCTTATCCTGTGCACTCAACAATCTCGCGTACTCACGTACAGTACACGCGCAGACTAAAGACACAACAGTACTAACTTTTTCACGGAGCCCGATTACACTATTAAAAATAATTCTCAACTTTTTTTATCACCAAAAAAATATTACTTACTTTTTTTACAATTTTTGTCATTAATCTGATTATTTTGATTCACATATTCCACTGGGTCATCGACATTTATCAATTGTACAAGCAAAAACCTGAAAAAAAAAAGAACAAATGAAAAAACAATATTTATTGTATAATAATGACAAATAAATAATTAATTATGTAATGATTAAAAAAAATTTTTTATTGTAAAAAATTGCATAAAAAAAAAAATAAAAATATATTCTTACGGCCCTGAATATGAATTCCCACCCACCGGCTGAGCAGCAGGGTCACACACACGCGTGTAAATTTTAAGAATGTGTGTGCGCGCGCGTGTTTCACTCACACACCGTTAACGCCACTAGCAGTTATGTAGCTTGGGGTGTTAGTGTGGTAGTAGCACACGCATCACCATCAATATCACCAGTCTACACACATACAATTTAAAATTCGCGGCGGCGCACGATCTATGTCAGTGTGCGTGAGCGAAATAACGAAAATTAACGATGATACCCGAGTGACGGGGCGGGCAATCGAGGCGGATTTTCACGTTACAACCCGACTCTACGCGAATTAGTACGAAGTTTTACGAATGTGGATGACGATTAAACTCGACGGTCCCGAAGTAACCCGAAGTTAAGTCGAGGCACAGCCAAAAGCAGTGCGGCCGAATCTAGTGCCGTGGCTGGGTTACACTGTTTTATACCTCCGCTGATTTTTCGTACCGTGCGTGGTTTGTGCGTGCATTTAATTTGTCTATTACAGATTTTTAAATTTTGTTTTCAAAACCAGCACCAGTGGATTTACGTGTGATATTTATTTTAAAACAACAGTGGAATTCATCACCCTCCAGGATTTAACATCAATCACTACTTAAGATCTAATGTAATTTTATTTAAATTTTAGTGGTTACAAGTGGAGTTGAACATATATAAATATATAAAAATAAAATTATATATATATATATATTTTCTCTTCTACTACGGTAGATAGAAAAACGAGAACGAAAAACACCGCGACGGCCATGGCTCGCCGTCGCGAGGACACCGATGATGGTGATTAAACAAAACGTCGACGGGTGCGGCATATTAAACCAATAGGATAAACTTTTCAATAATAATAATAATAATAAGAATAATAATAAATAATTTATTTAACAGGTTCGCAGGCTATTCATAATAATTCAAGACTGTAAGCTTATCTGGCAGTTGCTGGAAAACATGAAGCTGATTTTTTAAAATTCTTTGAAAAATCCAATGTGGAATCGCTGGTGATATGTGGTTGTGAAATAAAGCAAGAGTTTGTATTTAAATTAGTCTAGCAACTTGTAGAAAAAAAAAATAAAGTCGGATAGGCACAGGCTTTATTACAATATATATATATATATATATATATATATATATATATATACATCTATATACTTGTGTAGTTGTTTTAAAAGCAACGGTGTGTTTTTAAGGACGTGATACATTGCCCGGCGGACTAGTTGTGTTATTGGTCTTGGTCAAAAAGCGATAGCAAACCGGATACACTTAAAAACGTGTAACTGGCTAGCTGGTGTAGGCCAACAAGCTAAAGAGCCGGGAGGCTTTCATTTTATTTTGTTGGAAGACAGTGAGAAGGTTTGTTAGTTTTTTTTGGCACATAAGTTGTTGTTGCTGTTGTTGTTATTATTTATATAGTTGTGGATTGTTTGTCAAGTTGGCGTACAACAGAGCCAAGAAAGTTTTCGAGACATTAAGCAAGCAGTCCATTCTCCTACAAGGAGAACCTTATCCGCTGGAGGATGAACAAGCTACGAGAATTAACACAACGCTCATAGTTGCTGTGTTCTTCTTGTTCAACCTTTCGGAATATTTTTTCTGCCTTTGTTTCTTACCGTCTCCTGGGTAGGAGGTGGCTTGTCAAGTTTCACGGGTACACTCAAAAACTTCATCCTTAGTAAAAATGCAAGTGGCAACGCTGTTTCGCGAGAGTTCTACTCTGCTGGGTGCTTCCAATCTGGACCCTCCACAGCAACATCATCAACCTCATCAACAGCAACAGCAACAACAACAAGAATCACCACAGCAACAACAACTACCGCAACAACAACAGCAACAACACCAACACCAGCAGCAGCAGCAGCAGCAGCAACAACTTCAACACCACCAGCAAATTCAACAACAGAACTCGGATATCCATCTCGGCCATCATATGCAGCATTATCATAAAATGTAAGTTGAATATAATTATTTTATTTTTTTTTAATTGTACTGAAAACTAATGTAAATTTATTTTTCCTTAATTTAAATTAAAAATTGAGTAAAACTAAGTAAAGATATATGTAAAAAGACTTGTTTAGCAATATTGCCAAAGTAATCGCGGGACTTTGATTTTGTAACGCAAGAATAAGTTTAAGCTTAACTTGGAGTAGATTTAAAAGAGTGGTTGCTATGGATAAAAAAAATAAAAAGAAAAGATTGAACGTGAAACACGACTTACTTCTCACGACCGCGTGACTCACCGCAGTCTTATGATGTAACACGTTCGTTTGGTTGGTTGTTAAGAAAAAGAAGAAGAAGAAGAAGAAGTAGTATAGAAGTCGGTCCAGTGATTTAAATGTGAATATAAAAATATTATTTCAAAAACACTATTCTTGAATTTGAGGAGTTTTCTTTTTTCAATTACAACCTCATTTAATGGGCCTTCAATTTTTTTAACATTTAATAGTTCATTTATTACGCAATAAATATATACTTTAACGGACGTACTTTATTATGCATGTACTGGTGTTATGTATACTAGTAGGTACTCGCGATAATTGTTATTTATAATTTAAAGCCGACAACTGTTTTGGAAAATTTTACCGGGAAATTGTGTTGACGTTTAATTGGCACGGGATGAACGAGCCACGTGTTGATTATCTGCTGGCCTAACTGTCTCCAATATGTCTATATATATATATATATATATATATATATATGTATATCTATATCTATATCTACACCTATCTATATGTATGTACGTATTGAGTATGCACGTGGATTCAGAGATTTCAGCGTTGAAATACGTAATTTAAATTATTTAGACCGGTCTCATACTACTATGATACTGAACAGAGCAGATACTTGAAATGAACATATATTTATTATTAAAATAATTTTTTAAGAGAAATCTTCTATTACATACCCAGTTTGATTGTTTTTAATAATATCAACAAATCAATTATTACCTGCTATTTTCTTTATCATTAGTTTGTTTATAATTATTTAATCGTTAGTACTATTTAATAAATGTTTATTTATTCAACCAATAGGTAGACAAGAAGAAGAAATGACAAGACAAGCCAGTGGTGAAAAAGCACCATCTCACTGTAAAACAAAACGTCTGGAAGATCTTTTTCGTCCACCTTATGATATTTTATTTTTGGGGACATTCGTCGAAGCTCGAGAATACGCCAAATCAAAAAATCGTTGGCTATTAGTTAATGTACAGAACCCACAGGAATTTGCGTGCCAAATGCTTAATCGAGATGTGTGGTCTGATAAACAAATAAAAGAAATAATCAAAGATCATTTTGTTTTGTGGCAGGTTTGTACAATTATATCTATATTATTAAGAGAATAAGCAAAATTTTATGGCCAGTGTATTTATGTGATAAAATGGGTTTTAATGGTTAAATTTGGTATCGTTGGAAAAGTCTTGACCTAGAGTTGTGCCTTTTTATGGTTTCATAACATTCTCATCAATAGTCAATTTATGATGATAAATATTTAGGCTGCATTCGAAAATGCTCTATCTCTAGACACATAATTAATAAATGACCTTGTATCTCGTGAACTATTGACATTTTCAACGATATAAGCTCATCTCGATCTTAAACTCATCACGACCCTTCATTTAAGTACCCATATCATTTTTTCATATATTTATATATTTTGAAAATTAAAAAAAAATTTTTATCTTCCAATCTATAGCTTTTAAAACTCTGAAACTTGACCAAAACATTTTTTTTAGCATCTTTGAGTTTACTAACAACTAATTTTATGATGTTTCACCCCTAGAGGGAGTGCGGGGGCGTTAAAAAATTAAAAAAAAATTCTTTTTTCCAATCTATAGCTTTTGGAACTCTGAAACTTGGCCAGAATATTTCTTTTGGTATGTTTGGATTTACTAAGAACTAATTTTATGATATTCAACCCTAAGAGGGTTGTGCGGGGGCGTTAAAAATATAAAAAATTTGTATCTTCCAATCTATAGCTTTTAGAACTTTGAAACTTGACCAAAACATTTTTTTTGGCATGTTTGAGTTCACTAAGAACTAATTTTATGTTTATATTAGTCACTCATCACGATATCTCTGGAGCCATAAGACCTAGAGACTTGAAATTTGGTAGGAATATTTTTTTTACCGAGTTGAGGTCAGCTAAGAACGGATTTAACGAAATTCCACCCACAATTGGGGGGTTGCGGGGGCGTTAACAATGAAAAATTCCCATTTTTAAACTATAGCTCCTATCGACTCCAAATTTGATAGGAATCTTCTGTAAGAGATGTAGAAATAATCTATGAACGAACTTTACGATATTACACCCCACAGAGGGTTGCGGGGGTGGGTATTAACAATGAAAATTTTTAATTTTCAAGCTATAGCTCCTATACAGATTCCAAATTTTATAGGAAATTTCTGTACGTAATGTAAAAATAATTTATGAACGAATTTTACGATATCGTACCTCAAAGAGGATTGCGGGGGCGTTAATAATAAAAATTTCCGCTTTCAAACTATAGGCATATCCGCATCCAATAGACTCCAAATTGGGTAGGAATTTTCTGTAAGAGATGTAAAAATAATATAGGAACGAATTTTACGATAACTCACCTCACAGGGGTTTGCGGGGGTGAGTATTAACAATGAAAATTTTTAATTTCCAAGCTATAACTCCTATAGACTTCAAATTTAGTAGGAATCTTCTATATGTGATATAGAAATGATCTAAAAACGGATTTTACAACGAATCACCTCCAATAAGGATCGCGGGAGTGGGTGTTGACAATAAAAAATGTTCATTTCCAAAATATAGCTTCTGAAAACTCTAAATTTGGTAGAAATCTTTTATTTCTCCTGTAAAGATCATCTCAAAATGGATTTCAATAAAGTTTATTTCCGATAGTTTATTATCTCGAATAGGATTTTACGAAATTTCTCTCTCACAAAGGAGTGCGGGGGTGATAGTTGTCAAAAAATTCATATTCTTCAAATATATTTTCTACAGATATAAAATTTCATAGAATCTCAAGAAAAACAGGTAATTATAGGGATGGCCTCCAAGGTCAACAGATTGAAATATTTTCCTTTTTTAATAATTATATTTTTTTTACAACAATCGTCTCTTTAGCAGCGGCGAAAAAGTCATTGTATACAATCTTATAGATTTCTAATTGGATACAATCTTATACGATTTCTAAAATTTAACTTTACATGTAGCTATATAGTCAACGGACTGAGTATTTTGCATACATTTTATTTTTGCTGATCAGATAACCGATGAATTGTTCTTATTACTTAATACATTATCTAAACACTTGAGATGTGGAAAAGAAATTTGGCTACTTATTTTAAGAGATTTCGTAAAATTTTAAAAGAAATCGTAAATCCAAAAATTATCATTTATTTTTGGAGAAAGCCACGGGAATGTTATAGTGATTGCACATTGAAAGTTACAATGGATATCCGCTAGAATGATGACATGGATAAAAGGTACAGGCCAATCCGATAGAATTTGGAATTTATGCAAGTCAAAACAATACTCCAATTGAATTTCAAGTCTAGATCTCAAAATATAATTCTATAAAATGCCCAGCGGAGTGGGCGGGTGACAGCTAGTATTATATATATATGTATATATGAAAAATATATCAAAATTGATGTGGATACTCAAATGAAAGCTTTTGATGATTGTAACATCAGGATGAGCTTATATCTTTAAAAACGTCAATATTTAAGAAAGTACAGTGTAATTTAACAAGATTCATTATTCGATAAAGCAAAATTTTATTTATTTATTATAGTTCATAAGGCACGGAAGTCACATAGTGACTGCAAGGTTGCTAGTATCATAATTAAGAGAATAAGGAAAATTTTGTCTTTGGTATATTTATATGATAAAATGAATTTTTTAAATTAAATTTAGTATCATTGGTAAGGTCTTGGCCTTAATTTGTGCATTTTAAATGTTTCACATGCTTAACAGCAACAGTTAATTTATTATGATAAATTTTCTATGTAGTTCTAAATAGATCCGAATTCCGTGATAAACAAAATTTGTTTATTTATATATTTTGTTTTGTTCATGTGAAAGTGGTTGTATGTCCAAAATTAATTTATATAATTAAAAAACAAAGAAAAATGTTCTAACGGGTATACCTTTGTTGTAAGTCCCTTTTCACGGTTTTATATATTTTTCAGTGAAAGTAAATATTTTATGTTGAGTTTTTGGAGCAGTTTTTAATAGTTTGTAGGTTCCATAAATTTTTTTCATTTTTCATTAAATTATCTGTAATTGATCCTGTCATAGCACTATTATTGTTCAAATTTATTTGTACAGTACCTAAACTATGTAAAGTATGATTAGAAATATCAAAAAATCATCAAACCAAATTTTTCTTATTCATAATCCACAAATCTCACTAGTCGCATTGTGACTGTAGGTTGCTAGTTTACATTAACTGATTGGGTTAATGATAATTAATTTATAATTTAATAATTAAAATTTTCTAGGTACTGTCAGATACAGCTGACGGACGAAGATACATTGATTTTTACAACGTACTCGAATACCCTTATCTGGCAGTGGTCGACCCAAGAACTGGAGAATGTATGCGTTCCTATAGTACAATATCAATGGATCATCTTCTAACTGGATTGAACGATGTTCTCAGCTCCCAGCCGTCACCTGACTGCAGCTCAGACTCTCCTGATGTCGAGGCCTCACACTGCGAGCCGACTTCATCGGCTAAACGGGGTGGTCACTTTAATATTTCTAAAGATTCCGGTAGGAGAATTAAAAAATCACGTGTCTCTAATGATCCAACATCTACAGTTGGTTTGTAATTTATTTCAATTAAGTAATTAAGCAGTTTCAATAATTAAATAACTATTTTTTTCGGCTCATAGGTTTCAACACTCTTAATGGAGAGCCATCTGTCAGTACGAGCACTGGGAGTTCGGTGATTCGTGGTAAAAGAAGTCGTATGGAGATTGATAATTGCGATGATCCTTCTGATGAAGCTGCGATACCTAGTAAAGAAGTAAATACAGTCTAATACTTATAAATGTATTCATTAATATATTTTCTCGGCTCAATTTTTTATTAATATATAATAAATAATTTTTTTCATTCAAAGGACTCAGTGGCTAAAACTTCTAATAATACACCGACTGTGTCAAACAATGATAGTAAACCGTCTACTTCAAGTTACAATAGTAATCTGTCAACTTCGAGTTTTAGTAATAAAGCTTCTACTTCAAGTTACGACATTAAACCTTCAACGAGCTATAACAGTACAAAGTCAATTTCAAGTAACAGTACACATTCTACTTCAAGTAAAAATGAAATTCGTAAGTATAAAAAGTTTGGAAAATCCAAAAGTGCACGACTCATAATGCTCATTTAATTATAAAATATTAAAAAAGAAAAAAAAAAACATAAGTCGTTCAAAATTAGTTGCCGAAAAAACAGCTGTACTAGGAAGATAATGCACAGGCGCCTCGGGTGGAATAAATGTACATAATATGTATAGATCTATCACCATCCATGTAAATTTTACATGGACATATATAGATATACAGTCTTCTGGCTTTTTTATTTTGTTAATTGTACATGAATGACACTGAATTACTTAACCATTCGCATTCGATGACCTACAATTCTCCTTAAGAATTTTTTTAAAAAAATTTTACTTAATTGATGCATTTTTTCGCAAGTTATAGTGTTTTCAGAGTTTCATACATGACGAACAGCAAAATTTTTTTACCTATTTTGATGTTTTTTTCTGTTTCTAGTACACTAAATCAATTTTTGAAAAGTGTCAAATTAATCTCCATTAAATTATCTTGACAATAGTATGCAAAATATCTTGATTCCGTGAACTAACAAGACTATAATAATGAAAATAGTTGCCGAAATAAAGCGAAAAAAATTTTTCGATCGTAAAGTATTCTCTGATGGTTCACATCATGAAACGTGTAAAATATTTTTGTCTGAATTAATAGATATATTAGTTTAAAAATCTAAAATGAGATTAAATAGTTTGATATTTAGTATTTTATAGTCTGGGGTGGAATTGCATCATATTTTTTTAAATGAAAATTTATTCTACAGCTAACGGAGAATTATCATTACGATTATGTCTACGATTACCTGACGGTGAACCAGAGACTATTTCAATGCGTGCTAATGATACTATTGAGGTAAAATAATAATTAATACTAAAAATCAACTTATATATAAATTTGAAATATTTATTTATTTTTTTAGTGCTTCATAAAACGCATTGAGGATATGGGATACTCAAGGACAGATCATACATACTTGATTCCATTCCCAAAAACAAATGTAGGTGCATTGCCAACGGAAACACAGTTGCGTGATACTATTTTGTACCCATCAAGCACGATATTTATTACTAAAGTCTAAAACAAGTTTTGTTTCGTTAATGAAAATTCACTGCCATTTTTTACTCCATTTTAAACTAATGAAATTCAATTAAGAAACTTTTAAAACTCTGAATTTTTCTTTTATAATAATTTAATTAATATTTAAAAATTTTCTGATAAAAAAATTATCAATGTCAAGTAGTAATCTCATAAGTGGAGATTTATTAGACATTTGTTTTTAACTAAAATTATTAAATTCGTGTCTTCTACAACACTTACTCAGTTTTTTTTTTTTTTTTTTTTTTTTTTTTTTTTTCCTCTCATTACATCTCACTATTTTACTTTTTTTATTTATAAAAAATAATATCAATATCAAGGCATTGGTATGGGACATAATTTTTTATACAAAAATCCAATTGATATAAAACATGAAATGTACGTAATCCACTAATAAGATGATCATAAAATGATAAAAATAAATATTAAATCTTAAAAATTGTAAACCAATAAAAATAAAATTTATTCATTGATACAGAAGACAATTGATGTAATAAATATATAATCTCAATTGAGAATTATAAATAAACTATTTAAAAATAATATTTTGAACATATATATTATTTACTCATAATTTAAACACATAAATTAAATATATTACTATATTCGTTTTATATTTCTATATTATAAATTTATTATTATTATTATTATTAATATAATTATAGAAAAAATAGTGATGAATGCAGATCAATTTTAATGCAAACTAAAATTTAAATTCGATTAATTTAACGTCGATGCAGTATAAAATTGAAGCACATGTATAAGTTTTATTGTGAAGGTTTTCGCGTGTTCGTTTGAGATTTTAAAGTAATGCAGGCCACATCGTCTGTAGTGTGTAGTGATCGCCCAAGAAAAAAAAATAATGAATAAAATTAGACATGTTTATCTATGATTTTGCCAACGCAATAGTATAATATAACGATATAAAATTTATTTCATCATATTTATAATTACCTAATGATTAATAATTAAGAATTTTTTTTATTGAGATTATCGTCATCAGAGTAAATATCAAAACCACACGACTCAAGTTTTATTAACCATTGCGTTAACGTTTCATCTAAAAAAAATTAATTCAAGTATGATAAATAATAATTTTAATATGAAAATACGAATGCTATAACTTTTAATTAATTTAAAATTACTAAGTAGATTGTTAAGCATAAATACTGATTTCTCATGAAATAGTTGTGGAAAAATATTATGAATTTTTGACTATGTAACAACAGTAATACTTTAAAGAGTCAATTTTTATCCCTGCATTCTAATTGAACTTCGTTGTTCGATAAACATTATGAAACATTTTATGTAAAGCAATAGTATTTTTGTTCAATAGTTAATTATTTAAGATTTGTATTATTTTGTTGAATTATTTATGCGAAGAGGACTTGTTCCATACCAAGTTGCTCGAGGAACAATCCCATTGGTGTACGCTTCAGTCCAATTCCTTCGATTTTATTGACGACTTTATTCTTAATACTTCTTAATCTTAACGATGCGTGTACAAATGTTGCTGTAAATTTTAATTTATTATAAAAAATTATTCATTTTGTAATTATTTAATTTTGAGGTAAGATATATGTTTGTAATTTTGAAGTTTAAATTTTGACTTACAGTTAGTAAGAATAACTTTGATTTTTTCGAATTATGAGATTATATATTTACAGATATTGAAATCAAATATGAAATAAATAATAAAATATAGCTTTTTAAAAATATTAATTATAACAAGTCTATATAACATAAATTTTTTTTCATAAAAAAATGGTAAGCTATAAAATATTAATAGGTAACATAAAAATTTTAATAGACAAAAATAAACAAAAAATTAAAAATATAACTAATTGTTATCGGCAATTCAAAGTTATTTTCAATAAATGTGATACTAATTAAAATTGAACATAATTTTATTGATTTACGCACCAGAAAAAGGTAATAAAATACCAATAAGAAACACGAGAAGTGATCCCAAAGTATACGCAAGAAAGCATCCACCTGCGGCAACAATAATTACACCAGCTAGTGGGTTTTGTTTTTTGAAATGATGAATAGCTCTTCCTTCACTGGAAACGTATCCGAATAACGCAAGTACAACTGTCATCGACACCATACCCAATAACATTTTACCTGGGTGGATAATCCTGAAAAAAATACCGACAAGAAAATTATTTTTAGCCATTTACTTACCATGTAGCATTTAAAATTAATCAATATACGGTCATTAAATAAAAGTAAAATAAAGATAAACAAGATTATTTTTAGATACATACCCAACGATCAAAAAAATAACAACAGACATAAAAAAATAATTTGTCTGATAATAAAGTAGATTATTGACAACTCTATTTCCCCATTTATCGAGATCTTTTAAATTTGGAATTTGAAAACGTGCCGATTCTAATAAAAAATCATCAAGACTGCGTAATGGTGGTAACTCCATGCCTGTATTACCTAATTTTGTTTTATCCATTATTATTGCTTATTCTTATTACTTTTTATCTTTTGGTTAACTTTTTCTATTTATGTACTTAACTTGAATTTAGAAAAAATAATTTCGACTGTTATTTAAAATATAATTTATGTGTAATCAAATATTTTCAGACTCTGACGTGATCTCTACAGAATTCAACCAACTTCATTCCAGATTATATATATATAAACTAAACTACGTATAAATAGTACATACGCGTAACGTAAAGATCTACCTACATACATGCTCTGTATGTTTTTATATAAATAAAAATAAAATCGATTTTATTCAAGCCGCTACGAGCATGACAGGTAAACTTACCATTTGGGAAAATTCAAACCAAGAATTGGAACTTTTAATCAAAAAATGAATTTTTATCCAATTGTTTAGATTCAATTGTCATAATAAACTCACAGAAAATTCCACGTATGTACCTTTGGATAAATTAAAAATGTTTTTTTTATTATTTTATTAATTTATTAATTTAAATGACAATGAGTTTAAAATGAATTACAGTAGTTGCGTACTTACCAACTGTATTGAGCAGCCAGTTGCAGCAAACTTCGCTGCAATCATTTTATTTAACATCCACTGTATTCAGGCGGTAAGTCGAATAATTTAATTGAATTGAATTGATAATGAAAAAAAAAAATTGGTTAAATTTAAATAATTAATAACGCGATAATTATTCAATATATTTATATATTTAGTAGCTAAATTAATTATACAATGAAACGTTTGATATATTTTATGATATATAATGTATAATATATAGAGTATATATACTCTTACAAAACGATCGAGAGCATGCCTAATATTATACTGGTAGCAGTTGTATATTTTTCATTAAAATCGATGATTATAAATATTCCTTAAAAAAAATTAGATTTATCATTTATGACTTAATTAGCAGCATCACAAGAATCAATCCAGTCATTGTAAACATCCAGGGGATCTGATAAAACGTTGACTGTCGTTTGGTAATCTTCTAAGCAAATACGACAACAAATTCTTGCAGCTTTCCTTGCTTTATCCCTGTGTTGATAGTTAATAGTTAATTATAGTAATTATTTTTATGATTAATTGGTATGATACTAAAGTTAGTCGAAGTTTTTAATTTTTTTTTAATAATTAAATTAGAACAAAAAAATATTTTTTAAAAATTGCACTTACAGTTTTTAAAGTTTTTTACAAATGAAAATTTTTTTTCTTTTTTTTTTTTTAGTCATTTTTTCAATAAAAAAAAATTAAAAAATTTTTAAATGTCGGCTAACTTAATTTTCATTTAATTGGTTAATATTGATAATAATAATAATAATAATAATGACTTACATTTTAACTTCACATGATTTTTCGTGATTACAAAAAGGACATGTAAACTGTGTCTCCAAAGGTTCGATATTCTTTCTTCTTGTCGGTGCTTGTCTCTTACTCTTTTTGCGTCCCATTTTGTTTGTCGCTTAAAACAATTATTAAAATAATAACAATGGTGTTATTGTTGTGGTTCATTCTGACAGAATCCAGTATAATTTAATTATTGATTGATAACTTACTTTGTTTTGTTAAATTGATAATTAATTGCTTCTTATCAATAAATCGTCTAATGAATAAAAATTTTTTTCACAATAATAAATTAATTATAAGTAAACAAACGTGTAGTGTTGCTTTACATGTAATAAAATGGAGTGATGGTGTTGACTGTTCACTGCTAAATAATTGACTATAGTATGATTGATGGTAATACTCGAATTTGCTATAGTATAAGTTTCCTGTCAGACAAGGGAAGAGGGAAGGATGTAAGCATTGGTGGGGACAGAATTATAGGGCACTTGATTCAAAATTCATATTTATTAGTTGTAATTATTAAAAACTGATCAGACAATCATTTCTGAAATATCTATTCATATTACTTTACAAAATTACATTAGTTTTGTCTATTAATTTTTTGGATTGAGATGCTTATATATGAAAAAAAATACATGTTAACAAAAAAATAAGTTTAATTAATTATAGGCAGTAATAGAGATTTATTTAAATGTTAATTACACGGGATAATTTTTGGACTCTATTGAGAAGTAAGTCCCCTTGTTTCACCATTGCTTGATACTGCCAATTTTTGCTGTCTGGCCGGTTAGTTTCGACGACCCCGCCAACACGGTCGACTTTGCAGTGTAATCTTCCTGCAGCGATGTAGCGTGACAACTCTCTGGTAAATTTAAGCAAAAATTAGTTTTATTAATTTATAAAATAAATATTTAGAGAAAAAACTGTTGGTTTAAAGTACTTACAAGTCAACATAATCGACTGTGACACCAAATGCCTCAGCCATGTATTGCAGTGTTAATGATCTGTATGATTCCAAGAGCTGAGTGTATGCTAAGATACGCATTTCTCGCACGTAGTAACGATAGTGAGGGTGAATTAAGTAGTCTCGTCGTAATAATCCTTCAACCTGAGCTATAATAATACAATAATACAATTATTCAATCTTTTTCTAATAAATTATATCCAAATAATTGTGTGAAATTATTTTATGACAAATTTAATAAGAATTAATTAACTTTAAGTATGAATACTTAATAATAAAGTAACTTCAACAGTTTATTATTTTATGTAAAATAATCTAAAATTTTTAACATTTATAAATTAACTTCTGTAAAGAAATTACGACCTTTTGAGTCTTCAAAGTACACTGAGAAAAAAAATACTTTTATTAAGAAAATTTTCTTGTTACAAGAATTCATGTTCTTGAAAATTTTCAAGAATATATATTCTTAGCTCAAGAACTTGTTAAATTGATTGAAATAATTTTTACTTAATTTAAATAAAGCTATTCTCTTGATTATCTATTATCCAAAGATAAATATTGATGCTCTTCTCTTCAGAAATTAATAATTAATAATAATAGAATATTTGATCGTCATCGAATTTCTTGAATCAAGAAATTGTTAATTGAGTAAAAGTATTTTTTTTTTTTTTTTCAAGATTTTTTAAGTGTGCAATTTTATAACATAAATAAATAATTTTTAATAATACTGAAATTAACAAACATCTAACAATTTTTTTGATTTTTATGATAAATTATAAAAAAAAAAAAAAAAAAAATATCCTTAAAAAATTTATACTTGTAATTTTTTTTAATTTTTAGACATGGAAGTTTTTTATTAAATTATTTTCAAAATAATTTAATTATTATAAAAATCGAAAAAATTGACAGATGTCTTTTAATTCCAGTATAATAATTTTTACCCAGATTTTTGAAGAAATCAGCATAATGACAATTGTATAAAGAGAAAAGGAACTCTTTACAATCCTGATTATTGTGTAACACTTCCAATATTTCAGAACCTTTAATTATTTTATCTCTCAATTCATTTCTCGGTAGACTAATCATCGACAAGTACACCGTGTACCGAACAAACGTATTGTAATCCATGAGTTCATAGCTAGTAAATGTACTGATGGTATCGAGGAAAAAATTTGCAGCTTCCTTGAAATCACGAACTGCTATACAGTACGTTCCTTGGTAGACTTTCAGGCGGTTACGTCTGTCCCAATCACCTCCTTCGTCTATCAAACTGCAATAAGTAAATCAATTAATCAATTATGGATATAAAATTTTTGGCTAGTATAACAAGCAAAAAAAAAAAAAATTGACAAAATATCACACATACGTCTTTGCCTTATCAATGTTTCGGGTGATATGATCATGATCCATGTAAAACAACCCTATTCTAATGTTGTGGAAGACAATATCAAGTCTGTGACCAAGCGAAACTGTTTTTTCATAAGTCTTCCTAAATGCTGATATAGATCCTTCTTTGTCACCGATACGACACAAGTGCTCGGACTTTTTGAGATTAGCTTCGCGTACTTCCATCTCACCAAGATTTTGCTCAGCATCCTCAATAGCATCATCCAGAACTTTTAATTGCTCGCGATTGCAAGCGCGCATTTTTTCCATAAGTGCGGTGTCTACTGGCCATTCAAGATCACGACAAACTTCTTCGTAAAAAGGTGCCATGTCTGTAAAACATTAACAAAGGAATAAATTAATAATTTAACATGTCATTAACAAAACTATTTTTAAATAGATTTAATAATAAATAATTAATGCATTTGCTACTCACTGTCAGCTTTAATAGCATTCATCAACTTAGACTTCAAATTCTCGTCATTTTTGTGCTCCTCTAAACTCAACAAAAATTTAGTCTGGGCTAATTCGAAATTCGGGTTCTTCTCCAGTCCATCGTCTTCCAAGTTTTCAATCGGCATTTTATTTACTTAATTATTTACTTTACTAATTATTATTGAATCTATCAACACTTTTTCCGTGATGAATAAACACTTTCGAGATCGTGTCTAAACCACATTCATAAATTGTCAAGAAGTATAACCTCTTGTTATTTTTTCACAAGTCATCTTAATCACAAGTGAGTGAGTTGTTTTACTTTCCACTAGGTGGCGGTACAATTCAAAACTAGTGCTCAAATTTAAATTTATAAATTAAAAAATTATTTATTATTTAGGCATGAAAATAAAGTTTGCCGACATTTAAAAATTTTTTAGAAATTCTTTGTTGAAAAAATTTCAATTAAACAATTAAAAAAAAAATTGTCACATGTAAAAAACTTGAAAAACTACAAGTGCAATTTTTTATAAATATTTTTTTAGCTGTAATTTAATTAATAAAAAAAATCAAAAATTTTTAGACGTCTGCTAACTTCAGTGTCATATTTAGACAAGTCTTTATAATTCACATATTTTCACAAAAATTAATCAAAAATATTTATCTTAATATTTTTTAATTTTAATCATGCATTTCATCAAAAAAAATTTAATTTCAAAATATTGAATATTTTTTATGTAAATAAAATAATTTTTACTTATCTGTCATTAGTTGGATAATTATTAAAAAATGAGAAGTCAAAACTTGTTTTATAATTATCATTTGAGTTAAAAAAAAAATATTAATTGTTTAGTTACCAAAAATTAGTTATACATATTTCAATTCATTCATTTCACTTTATTTCTTTTAATTCGTCAAATGTTAAAGTATATTATTTATTTATAAGGTAGATACTGTACGGAGCATGCCGGATTTATAAAAAAATACGTTGCGGTCGGAACAATTTTGTTCGAAAGATTGAAAATTAATTAGATACTTTATAATTAATAATTATTATTATTATCGTTATTAGTATTAATTTATATTATTTTGTATTTTTCGTTTGTGTTTTCAAACAGTTACAGTAATATTAAAAGCTAAGTCGTGATTACTGGCAATGCTTTGAAATTTTTTCTATGAATCATGAGAGATTTGTTTGTAGAAAAAATAATAACTAAACATGGATCAAGACTGGTATATAAATTAATTAATAATTAAAGTAATTAGATGAAGATGTAGAGTCCAGACAGATCATCTGAAGTTCTTGATGATTTTATTATAAAATGAAATAACACTTTAAAAACACACTTGAGGATTTTATTATAGATCTTAACAATAAATCTTAAACTATAAGATTTAAAAATTAAACAAATTACAATAATTTATAATTTTAGTGAAATTTTTATTTTTTAAAACGGTAACTTCTTATAATTACGCTAATAAATTTTCTAATTAATTTTTAATTACAATCATAATAATAAAAAAAAATAATATAGATATTTATATATAGTATTTGTATAAATTTAAATACAATAATATCTTGTACTTAAAGATTGTTAAAATCACAATAAAAAATTTTCTTAAATAAAAATTTAAACATCTGGACTCTACTGAATTAAAAGATATCGCTATCATTGAAGAAAGTAATTTATAAAATAAAAATAATAATAATAATAATAATAATAATTTTTAAATATTTAATGAAATAGAATTTTTGTAAGCCATTAAAAATTATGTATGGCCCACTTGTATGGGCCCAAGCTCTTCACTTACACTTTAAAACTCGATGCGCAACAGCGATTCATTGATTTGTTTGTTTCATTAATTAATTAATTAATTAATTAATTATTTATTTATTTATTCATTCATATATTTATTCATATATCATAATTAATTACTGTATCTTAATAGCTAGTGTGTTTTTTAATTACTTTTATTTTATCCTATATATTAATTTACAATTAATTTATGCTGCCCCTGTTTTACTTTTTTTAATATTATATAATTAATTAATTAATCATTATTTCGTTAGTTTTTTTTTTACTCAGTTTAAAATTATTGAATCAATGAAAAATAAATAAAAATAATTTCATTATACTTGTATTATTTTTTTTATCAATTAGAGTACAATGTCATCGTACTTAAATAAATAATATTCATTACACATGACACTTTTGTAATTTTTTTAATGATCGCGAGAGCAATCTTACTTTAAGTATTTTTTTTTCTGTTAGTTAAAACATCAAGTAGATAATAGCTGTCGACAATTGATTTAAAATCTGAGGCCGATAGAACTAAAGAAATATCTATTTTTATATATAATATAGACAGCATATTATAACAATAATAATAATAATAATTATTATTACTATTATTCATTATCAATATTAGTATCATTATTGTTATTTTTATAACAGCATCAACTTCATCTATACCCTGTGCATCACCTCCGTCGTCATCTCATCGACACATTCAATTTAATGATTATTTGACAAATTGTTAATTAATTATTTTATTTATTTATTATATTGGCTAGTTAATAGTTAATTTATCATTACAATATCTATTTATATTTATATTTGTATCAATAATTTTTGTTACTTTTTATATATTTATATTATATATATTTAATATATTTATAATATATGTATAACTGATGCATCATTTTACAGCAATATATTTTAATTAAAGATGTAATGTCTCGGTGCGTCAACGATATTTTAACTTACGTCTCTTTGTATGGTTTAATTACTAGTATAAATAAATAAATATATTCAATTATTTATTTATTTATTTATATGCCATGCATCAGTCATTAATCGCGATAATATAACTTGTAAAAACATAATAGAATATTAATTATGGCATAAAACGTAACACAACGCGACTCCATTTATATATCGTAATGATAAGTCATCTTCATTATCGTGATCATAAAAAATAATTAAATAATTATTTTTAGTTTACTGGGTTTTTTGTTTTTTGTTTTTTTTTTTTTTTGTAATTAACTAGCAATTAAGAACTATTAGAATGTCAAAAAAAAAGTTTGACTAACGATTACGTTAATGAAGATGACAATCCGCAATGGCAAATTTATATTTATTAGTTTTTTTACATTTATTAATCATATATTCGTGTTTCGCGAGAATAAACTGTGAATGACAATGATAACAACACCGATGAAAATTCGTTTGTTTATTTGTATTATTAATATATAATTGTATATACACAACGACCGCCAATGTATATTAACAGAGATCGGCGAAATAATTTATTTTTAAATTATACCAGATCGCTACCTTTTGAATTAATTATTTATTTATAATTTTGAAAATAAAAATTTAATAAATATTTCTTGTACTTTGTTTTCAGTTAAAATTTAATCACAAATTTAAAGATAGCGAGCTTTAAATTAATAAAATTAATTTTTTTTAAGAAAAATAATCCTGACTTGCAATAGAAACTTATATCGTTCGATAAAAAAACATAAACAAAAAATTAAACGTTATATATAAAATTTTAACGAAACTATAAAATACTCTAAGATGATAATTATATGTACAGATACATAATAATAATATGATATTGATATATTTCTTAAACATATTTTCTATTTTTCTCTTTCTTTTTTTTAATAATTATTACAATAATAAACGGTCAAGTTTATAACGGAATGTACTGATTGACATTCAAAGTTTGTAATATAATAACTAATGACAATTGAAGTTAGTTAAGGCAACAACAACAATAACAACAACAACAACGTAGTCAGGAATTAATAAAAAAAAAATTAGGAGAAATAATAATTATAAAACGTACGGTAATAAAATTGCACGTTTATTACATAGCACCTCACTGGCCTTATAACAATTTACTTTCCTTTTGAAAAAACTAAAAACCAATATAACTCTATTATAAATGCAAAAATAAACCGTACGAGTAACTTGAAATAAAAAAAAAAAAATAAAAAATAAACTTTTTAAATAATTGGATAATTATTTTTGAGCATCACGAGTATATTCATATCTGTCACTCGTTATCAATATTTCTTTGTTAATATTTTTCGCCGACCTCCGAAATCACGCCGAGTCGTTAAGTTAAAACGACACAATTCAACCCAGCGAAATTGATTGACATCAACCGAAAGCACTATTCGTTGCGGGTGGACTAGATTTATTCTAATCGCGTCGCCGTAGTCACAGACTTATCATTACTATTATTATTATTAATATTATTATTATTATTATTATTATTAATATTATTATAGTTAGTATTTATTATTATTAATCATTTTTTTCTTCATCATTACCAGTATCAGTATCATTATCATCATCATAGTCATCATCATCATCATTATTATAATAATTATTACTATTATTATTATTATTATTCTTACTGACTATTATCGTTATGATCATCATTATTATTACTATTTACTATTATTATTATAATAATAATAATCATCATCATTAAAACATAAATTACACATTATTAATAAAAATTAATTTCTCGAAAACGGCGACGCGGTCTTGCAAATACTTTTTTTTTTGCCGTAATGCCAACGTTTATTTTTTTTCCTCAACGATGCAGCATTCGGACATGCCAAGAAAATCCTAAGAGTGTAAAAATACGTAAAAAAAGGTAGTATTCAGCGTATAATATATATATATATATATATATATATATATATATATATATATATATTTATACACACATATATTTATTTTTTTTCCTTTTTTTTAAATATTTTTTAGTTAATTAAGCATAACGCTTACAATGATTATCATACGCCGTCATAGCCGAGGTCAACGGGTGGCCTGTGATGAGATTGAAGGTAAGAAGGAGGTGTAGAGTTACCGGGACTGCTGGTAGTGCTAGAAACACCGTAACCACCAGGGTAATTTGGACTGGGGGCATGAATGCCGGCTGGAGGTGTTGGATATGCCTCGAAGGAACTCGAGTAGGATGTATTGTATGGATAGGGATTAGCCATGTGCCCTAACGAGGGATGCATACCACCCATACCGGTCATGCCGCCCATTCCGTAAGTACGTTGCATCAGACTTGACTCTAATCCCCCGAAGAGATAGCCGTTAGTGGGTCCCATAGTTGGTACAGGATAATGTGGACCAGGGATGATGTTAGAGTAGCTATTTCCCGCTTGACTCATGCTCGGTGTATAATTGCTTGACGCGAGATTTTCTACTGTATAAGATTTACTGTGTTGCTGCTGTTGCTGTTGCTGTTGCTGTTGCTGTTGCTGCTGCTGCTGTTGTTGCTGTTGCTGTTGTTGTTGCTGTTGATGTTGATGCTGTTGCTGTTGCTGCTGTTGCTGTTGATCAAGCCGTCCGTTCATCCCATACGGCGATCCATAATTTTCACCTGGATAAAGTGGTTGTGAACCAGGGTAAATCCCACCTCCAAGCGGCGGACTGTAATTATTCATACCTGGGCCAGAAAAACCAGACAAATAAGATTGATGATGCGGCTCCAATTTATTATCACCAAGACCGTCATCGGGGATTCCAGGATGGGAGTGTAAACGTTGATTGCCACCGTCAGCTATACTCGGTATCTGATCAACCAAAGACTCGAGGTCGCTCAGACTCTTAGAAGCAACATCTTGTCCGGTATTTCTCTTCATGACGTATTGCTCATGCGGATGCGGCGACATTGATGAGTGTGTCGGCGTGTGAGGATGACTCAAAGGTGGTGTGTGATGCGACTGATGTGAGTGCTGCTGGTCTTCACCGGGATTTAAACCCGTGGGCGTAGTTTGATGTCCGTGCCCGTGAGAATCGGGTGTTGGCTGATCGTGGAAACCCATGTAGCTCGTATAACTCGAATGTGATTGCGTACCAGGGCTTCCTGAGTGCGGTATTGTGCCGTCTGTTGTCCCAGCCGGATTATAAGCGCGATGGTCATTCGTGAGATTCTGCTGCTGAGACATACTTGTCGGTGGTTCAAAATCCGGATGCTCAACACTCGGAGAGGTTAATGGTGAGGGTTCAAGATTATTTTCAGATGATATTGCCGTATTTATCTCAGACGATAGATCCGAGTGAGTGAACGACAAGGACATAGATTTAGGACTTTGGCTATAGTGCTGCTGTAAGTGTACAGGGCTTTGTTTAGCGCTCATATTATACGGACTGTCATTCATACCCTGTGAAAAGAAATTTGAGTCGGGCTGCGGATATGGCGCCATATGAGCGAAAGGTTTTGGTGGTGACATTAGAGGAGGTGAAAAACAACCTGGGACATTTCCATAATTGTCACCGAGATGTCCCATATTTTGAGGATGGTGTGGATGATGAAGGTGATGTTGCTGTTGCTGCTGTTGATGCTGCTGATGTTGCTGGACCATTTGCTCGCGCTCCCGAGCTTCACGCTCCTGTTGTTTCTGCTGCTGATGAATTTTCTTGGGACGTCCACGACGTTTCTTTATCACCTCGCCTCCAGATCCAATATTTGATCCTTCGACGTTACCACCACTCCCGGGATTGGTTGTGTCCATTTTAGGATCAGACTCTGATGGAATCATCATCTGATCATCGGGGTTTTTTATTTTTTTGGGTCTACCGCGTTTCTTTTTCCCCGGTATCAATCCTTGCTCCGGCTTTATCTCACTTAATTCGGACATCCTGCTCTCGCCGTCAATATCTTCGCCCTCGTACACAGACTTTTTATCTTCAGTAGCGTCTGAATCTTTCTTTTTATTTATTTTTGGATCAGCAAATACAATATCCGATTCTTCTAGGTGTGATATTGTACCGTTTAAATAATCACGAAATTTTTTAAGAGCTGCATAGTATGGCACCTTATCCGCCGCGCGTGGCAATTGCGCACATCTCGCGCTACTCGATGGCATTACCCACATATACTGTAAATAAAATTATCATGTTCAATAAATAATGATAATATATTTAATTAATTACAAAAACAAATAAACTTACTGTATTTGTACCCTCAATTAAATTCGGTTGTCGACCAAATCCAAATTCTTTTTTACCAGAAAAAACTTCATAAATAAGTTTACCATTAAATACTGCTATTTTTGGCTTGTACCTCTTCAACTTTTCCAACAATAAACTACTACCTGCAAAACAAAAAATAAAACAAAGTTTATGTTATGAATTTATAACATAGTGTTTAAACATAAATATTTTTTTTTTTATTTCAAACAAGACAGCAAGGTCGTGTATAAGTAAACAACAGGAGTTTAGAGAATCCATTAATCTTGAGCAGAGAATTTGTTTCGAAACAAAGTTTTACGTGTACCGTAAACTTATGCAGATATAAACTAGCATAGTGCATAATAGATAGATAGTAGATGATAGTAGTTGTAACACAAGGTATTTGACTCTGTAAGTACGATCCGTCTTAACGATTAATCTATGATAAGCGGTGTCCAATAGTTTCGAGGCCAAGTAACAACTCAAGTTCTATCCACCACTTTTACTGTATAGCTAGGGATTCGTTGTGTCTGTAGTTAAGTGAAAATTTAGTGGTTTACTTGGCTGTTTTCAGCAAACTCTATTACACTAGAGTCTGATCAAGAGACTAAAGATCTTCACAATGACACGGATAGTCTCGTTTATAGTATATTGTTCGGTATAGTTTCAAACTACTTTGTCACGGCCGCTCATTCAACACCCCGAGCAACTTGATATTCAAGCTCCATTACTTGACCATTAACTCAGATATCTTTAAATAGTAAAAAGTCGTTAAATTTCATCTCAAATTTATTATATAATTTTTCTGTTCTACACAAAAAAAAAAAACTTCTTGCACCAAAAAAATTTTAAGGAAGACAAAAGTTATTTTGGAGCAAGAAGAAATGTTCTTGGCTGAAGAAACTTTGACTTGAATCAAAAAATTTTTAATCATCCTTAATATTTTTTTGAGTCAAGAAAAGTAATAATTAGTAATAATTTTTTTTTAATCTCAGATCAATCATTTTATCGATTATTTTAATTGAGAATATAATTATTATTTAGACCTTTTTTAATTTTGTTATTCAATTTTTGAAAAATTTTCACAACAAATTCAAATCAGCTATAAATTTCAACAAAAATTTTTTTTTTCATAGTAAAGAAAATTTATTGTCTCAACTCTTGTCGTTTACTCACTTTTAGTTATTTAGCTAAAATATATATAAAAAAAAAAAAAAAAAAAAAAAGTAAGAATAATAATATTAACCTTCTTTTATTTCTTTTCTCGTTAAATCAGCACTTCCTTTAGTCGCACGTGCGACCATATTAGTAAAACCAATTCCTAAACGTAATAATGTATAGTCATCTTCAGCAGTAAGTGGATCAGGTGTTAGGCCACTTAGATGTAAACATTTCCCTGAAAAAGAAAAGTAAATTTTAATTAATTTCAGTTTGAAACTCGACTAATTATTTATTAGTAGTAATGATGTCAATCATGGTGTTTATGTGTAAAAGTTTAAGATTTAAGTAAACAAAAAAAGCTGAGCCAACTTTTAAGATAAAAAATAAATAAACAAACAAAAAGAAAGAAACTATTGGAAAATCAGTTAAGGGAGTACAAATGTATAAACTTTAGGAGTAAAAACATAAAAGAGTTACCAAGGGTAGACGAATAAGTAAGAGGAGAGAGTCGTGCTAGTACTGGTGGATAGTAAAAGAGAAGTTGTTAGAAGTTTTGGGATACAGAAATTTATGACTTTGCGGAAACTCATTGGTGCGCGCGAACGACCCACACAGCACAGCGAATGGCCCCGCGACCTTGGCTCAACTTCGGAAACAAAGTTAAGAGGTCGAAAGGAGAAAACGTTCAACCGCGTGCCCATAACATTTTCCATTTACCTCTTCACAACGGAAAGAGTAAAAGGAATGATAAAAAAGAAGGAACAAAAAAAATTGATGAAACTTTATCGAAAGCTACACTTTCATTTTTTTTCTTTATCTCAAACCCTCTTTACTCAATCTTTATCAAGATTAAATGAGTAGTATCTAAGATACCGGTGTAATCAAGTCCTCAAAAAAAATTTTATTCACTGATATGCTAAAACTTGTTAATGAATTTTTATGTTTTATATTCACTTTATCTTCGGTATTTAATATTTCATACATATACACTATTTATTTTTACAAGTATAAAATGTACATTTATACATTATATTATATTATATTATATTATATTATATTTTTCTGTAGATGTGGATTGTAACGCGCCGGTCAGGTTTGAATCCAGGACACAGGTCGATCGCAACCTGTGACTGCGCTCCGGGACTCGTGTGCGTTGGGCGCGCCGGGAAAATCAATTTTCACAAGAGCTTTCTCAACATACTAAATATAATTTAACGAAAAAACTAAAGTAAAACATGCATTTAGCTTAAAATATGCGATGAGTCCAAGTGCCAAGGTAAAGGAATAAATATTTCTTGCCTAATTTTAAGCGCCTGGAATTTTAAATTTAGCGATTGATTATACCAGTCAACGTAGCACGTAATGACATTGAGTGTGTGTACTCCTAACTAAGAAAATTTATAGGTAACTTGACAAATGCCCCGGAGTCTTGGAGATAAAACGTAAATAGTGAAGAATAAGATGAAAGGTAGAATAAAAGTGAGATAACATAACGGAGAAGAATGAGACAAAGACGAAGGGTAAGAATTAGAAGAAGAATAAGAAAAACCTGGGTTGATTTGAAGCTTAGGGTACGCAAGGGGTAGTTCAGCAGAACGTGGACAGGGTATGTAAGCTGCTATCGAGCGAATACGCGGGTTTTACCCGTCCGTCCTACCCTTCCCTCCCTCAACATCCCTTTTCGTACTCCGCCCTCACCCTCGTCCCTGTTCCCTTTTTAGCCCCTCTTTCACTTCCATACCCCTAACCCCGTAAATCGAGGGTAGATCGTGACGGCTGGGACGGGCGGTCCCGGGGGTGGTAGAACCACCAGTATAAGCTGTAGAAGCAGCAGAACCAACAGGAGCACCAGCAACCAACCTAGAGATGTAGAGATCCCAGCAGAGAGATGTAGTGAGGAGAAGAAGAGGTATAGAGTATAGAGCACTCGAGTACACGTTTTCCCACACTTTGCTTCTCTTTCCGAGTCTCTTTTCTCTTCTCTATATATTATATATATATATATATATATATATATATATATATATATATATATATATATATATA